CACAATGACAATAATACTACACAAAGACAAGAAACAGACACAGATAGACTCTTTCAGAAGCAGACACTCCACCACATATTGTTTGCTCTCTATCCTCTCACTTCTGTTTCAAAGTTTGAGTGTTGTTGGCAAGCTTTTGACAGACACCTGCTTCTGAAATATGTCTGTGGATATTCCTTGTATTCCTCACTTTGTGGGCATTAGTTGTCCACCCAATAAGTATAACGATAAGAAAATGACCATTTTCTGATTAATTTTGGTCTCCATGAAGAACCAGTTCATAAATCACACATGATGGAGTATTTTGAAAATGTTAACATGCAGATAGTTTGCTGTGAGGATTGGGTTTAGGGTTTAGATTAGGGTAAGGGGATAGAATATACAATTTGTACACTAGAACAAGCATTACATCAATGGGAAGTGCCCATAAAGATAGCTGCGTGTGCATGTGTGTGTCTGTGTTCTCGCATACAAGAATGAAATGGCGTAAGCTCTGGAAGTTCAACTGAGAGTGAAGTTTTTGGAAGTGAACGTGTGTTTTTATTGAGTGTGTCCTACTTTTCCACATCTCAGAACTGCAGCAGCGGCAGAACTATAGCTCAACTATACTCTCTCTCTCTTTACTTTCAATTGGGCTTCATTTTTCTTACAGTATATAGTTATTTCTCTTTTGGTTTTGGTGCAACTCTCACACTTCCTTTGCCTTCACACGTCTACCGCTCTCTCCCTCTCTCTCTCTCTCTCTCTCTCTCTCTCTCTGCTCTCGATTTCTCTTTGTTAAATGAGAGTTAATCTGTACAGTCAGACAGAATGCCCAGGAGTTTCTATAGTAACAGCTGCATTCCAGCAGCGGAGCAACCGAGAGGAAGAAAGTGTGAGAATGCAAAGAGAGAGGGAGGGAACCAGAGTTCAGGAAGAGAACGGAAGTTTTACAACCACATGAACTGACTATTAAGTATAACATTTTTAAATCCTGTCCGTCTGTCTGGCTATCTATCTATCACAATTACTTGTTTCAAGGTAAACCACTGTAATTTTTTGTCATTGAATTATCATAATTTCGAAAACTCCCTCTAAATCCTGTAAAATTGCAATTAGCTGTTAAGTAAATGGATGTTTATATAAACAGTTAATAAATATATATAGTTATATATACAGTTAGCATACGCTGTATTCCTTTCATTTAAAATGTGTGATGCACACTATTGAGAATACTGAGCTGAAGGATGACTTTAAATAGCAAATTCTATCTCTCTATCTATCTATCCATCTATCTGTCTATCTATCTATCTATCTATCTATCTATCTATCTATCTATCTATCTATCTATCTATCTATCTATCTATCTATCTATCTATCTATCTATCTATCTATCTATCTATCTATCTATCTATCTATCTACCTGTCCGTCCGTCCGTCCGTCCGTCCGTCCGTCCGTCCGTCCGTCCGTCCGTCCGTCCGTCCGTCCGTCCGTCCGTCCGTCCGTCCGTCCGTCCGTCCGTCCGTCCGTAAATATGTTTCAGTGGTTCAGCACTTTCTCCTTGGGATGGTCCGTCCCAAGGAGAAAGTGCTGAACCACTGAAACATATTTAATACTTTATAAAACAGGCATTTTTTTTGTTTTTTGTTTTTTTTTTTGGTGATGGCTGCTTAAAGACGCCTCTCATATGGAGAATGAAGTCACATGCACTGCTCAGATGTGGGTTTTCCACAGACGTCAATAGAGTGTAAATATCTTGATGGTGCTGTGGGTCTCGTCTATCAAATCTGATCTTTAATTTGTATTTTCTGTTGGATTTAAGGTGATTGGCTGAACCATTCCACAGCTTCATTTTTCTTCTCTGAAAGCATTTGAGAGTATGCTTGGCTTTGTTTGGATCACTGTCTTGCTAAAGTGTCCACTCTGGTTTCATCTTCATCATCCAGATAATATAGATGTTGGACTGAAGCAGATAATATTCAGTTACAATGAAGAGGGGCAGAGGGTTGCTAAAGAAATACTGAAAGATTTCAGCTGCTGTCTGGGCTTTCACTGTCTTTCTACACCTCCCTTCCTTCATGTGTTCAATACATTTCTCTGTGTTGTTTACTTTTATTACACATCACTTCATTTTTCACATTTCATTTCAAGTCAATGGCACCTTTAGAAATATGTTTTCTGATAAAAATGGCTAATGTTCAATACTTATTTTCCCCTCTGTATCTGTCTGTCAGTCTGTCTTTATATTTTTATGTCTTTCTGTCTATCTTATGTCTATCCGCATATCTCTGTCTGTCTGTCTGTCTGTCTGTCTGTCTGTCTGTCTGTCTGTCTGTCTGTCCGTTCGTTCATTCGTCCGTCCATCTGTTTGTGTGTCTGTTTATCTATATGTCTTTTTGTCAATGTGTCTATATATCTGTCTGTCTGTCCATCTGTTTATCTATGTGTCAGTCTGTCTGTTTGTCTGTCTGTCATTCTAAATCTGTCTGTATTCTCTTTGTCTTTGTCTTGGTTGCTGTGTCATTGAAAACTTGTGTTTGTCTTCATGGACTATAACCATGCTTTTGCTCGAGTAGCATTACAGTGCACAATTGTAGTGGTTTTAGAACCTATTTTAACCCAGTTATGTCCCGCCACATGGTCTGACCAAGTAAGAAGAGCTTTTCACCCATGACTTTAGGCTACATTTTTAAACAGCAGCAAGTTGCTTCTGGGATAACTATTTATGATCAAATAATTGATGATAAAAGCTTTAGATGGCAAATGCTGTGTTCTTAATGATAAAAAACATTACCTCTCCTTTTCTACACTTACACATATTCATCAGCCGTACGCTTACCTCACATTCAGGAGATATTTACTGTTATCTATCTCACTCTTTCTGAGTGCCTTCTGGTTCATATGTGTCTCTGGTTCTCCATTAAAGCTAATATAGTTTTGCTGTACATTTCAGTTTAGCTTTAGTTCATTTCATTAATGCTTTTGTTAGTTTCTTATCTTGTGAACAAATTTCTTTTTAGTTTCAGCTTTAGTTTTAGTAATTCTAATTTAGCAGATTTAACATGACCAGTGTTGACCAAAGCAAAGACGGCAACACTTTAAAGAAATAATCCATTAGTTAATGTTTTTACTAACATGAACAAACAAAAGTAATACATTTTTTTCAGTATTTAATTATCTTTCTTAATGTTATTCATTCATTCATTTTCTTTTTGGCTTAGTCCCTTTATCAATCTTGTGTCGCCACAGCGGAATGAACGGTCAACTTATCCAGCACATGTTTTACATGCCCTTCCAGCTGCAACCCATCTCTGGGAAACTTTTTTTTTAGCTTTAGTTAATGTTATTTAAGTTAAATAACAATAATTTGTGTTAGTTCATGTTACCTCATGGTGCATTAACTGATATTAACAAGCACAACATTGGATTTTAATAATGCATTATTAAATATTAAACTATGATTAATAAATGCTGTACAATTATTCAATTTTAGCTAATGTTAAAAATTAAAAATAACCAAAAAACCATTACTCTGAAGTGTTACCGTAAAGTTTAGTGTTCTCTCAACATTTCAGATTCTGGAGTGCATTCAAGTTCTAAAGAAAATCATAAAAAATAAATAATCTTAAATAAAACAATTACATTTATATATGGTATTTAAGTATATAATTTCTCTCACCTTGGAAATGGAGGCTTGGAGGTTTATCTGATAATTGTAAGAAATAAATCTAAAAGACAATTGACTGTGTAAAGTCACGTAAAACAAAACAAAAATAAGATGCATATGATAAGTTCAGCAGCTAATTAGCCAGAATCAGCTGAGGTGAAGTGACGATGATCAGCCAGACCTAGCTGTCACTCAAGTGGCCACGGCCTTAATCATGCAGACCTTATATAACTTAATATAAATGAAGCAGATGACTTATAAAAAATTCACCCGCCTTGCAGTTGTCATGAAGAGTAATATTCACTCTATGAACCAAAATCATTCTTTGCATCAGGCTATAAACACCTTTTTTTCCTGTTGTAAAGTTAACAATGGGGTCAACAGAAATGTGCTCTATTATGGAGCCAGGACTAGCGGAATTTGCTGTTTCAGTTACTTCCGTATTTGCTTTACGAGGGAGAGGGGGAGGTTGCTACTTGAATGAGATGCATATTCAGAGTTCCACATGAGTTTATTAATTAGCAAATTATATAAATATAATGAACGTAAACGATAGGTGAGCAGGTTGCTTTCACTATATGGCATTAAATGTCATGTAAAAATTGCGTTTAAACTCACATTGTTAACATTTAACACTGAATAAAGCACATGAGGTGTACCTGAGGTGATTATTGTCAGTTTTCTGTTGTTCACCTGTGAGAAATAGATGCCGTTTCTAATGAATCAATTTGAGTTGTTGGTTAGGAAAAAAACTATAATATTCCAAATATTCCTTCTATCCGGTGCCATTGCTGTTATTTAGAAGATGGTTTAAATCACTTGCTCCTGTCCTCAATCTGGCAACCGGTACTTGAGTTTGTTTTGATCCAGGAGTGCAATACCTAGTTCAAACACTGAATCCCAAACAATACAAATGTAACAAAAAAGAAAAATAAAGCTTCTTCATATTAAAGATCATACTGTATATTTAATTAAACACGCCTAGTGTACGTATTTTTTATTTTTTTAAAGATAGTACACATTTTTTGTTTAATCAAATTATATATTTAATATAAGTTTGTATATAAGCATGTGCTTGATTAATGTGTTCGGCTGTAGGTAGGTCAGATTTTCCACAACAACATTAGTCCTTATACTGTATAAATTTGTAAAATAATTATTTATTTTTGCTAATTATTATTTATTTTCAATAAGTTTTTCAGTGACTTGTTTTTTACATTTAGTTTATCATTTATTGGGATTTTTTTCTATTATCACATTTCAGTTTAACAAAACAGTGATTGTAATAGTAGTAATAGTAATAGTCGTAGTTTCAGTTTTCCTTTACTAAAACAAGCTTGCTCTTCATCACAGAAATCTACACCATCCGAGGAAACTCTCACGCCAGCCCATGTTATTTCCCCTTCCTATACAACGGTCAGTGGTTCCACAGCTGCACCAGTGTGGGCAGAGAAGATGGTTTTCACTGGTGTGCCACGACCCACGATTATGGAAAGGACCAGCGCTGGGGCTTCTGCCCAATAAAGAGTGAGTCAATCCTGTTTACGTCATTCACAGACCTGATCTGTCAAATTCAGGACATTCCTGTACTGTTTGAGTCTGGCAGCTGGAATGCCAGACTACTGTACGGCATAGTGTGCATATTTGAAAAGTCAAAAAAAAAAAAGTGTCTCTTAGGAGAATTTTACAGTATTTATTACTGATTAAATTGAAAGATCTTATATGCAGTGGTGTAAAGTTACTAATTACAAATGCTCAAATTACTGTAATTGAGTAGGTTTTTTTCTCTGGGATTTACAAAGAAGTTTTATAAATGTGTACTTTTACTTTCCCTTGAGTATATTTTTAGTTCAGTATTGGCAATTTTACTCCACTTTTTTCCTTCAACCTACAGTCACTATTTTATATTTTCGTGTTTTATTGGGATTACAAAAATCATTAATTCATTCATTCATTCATTTATTCATTCATTCATTTTCTTGTCGGCTTAGTCCCTTTATCAATCTGGGGTCGCCACAGCGGAATGAACCGCCAACCTACCCAGCAAGTTTTTTACGCAGCGGATGCCCTTCCAGCCGCAACACATCTCTGGGAAACATCCACACACTCATTCATACACACACTCATACACTACAGACAATTTAGCTTACCCAGTTCACCTGTTCCGCATGTCTTTGGACTGTGGGGGAAACCGGAGCACCCGGAGGAAACCCACGCGATCGCAGGGAGAACATGCAAACTCCACACAGAAATGCCAACTGAGCCGAGGCTTGAACCAGCGACCCAGCGACCTGCCTCACCCATTAGAAAAATCAGTCCTGTGATTTCTGTCCAATAAAAAAATTATAGAAGGTAAAACACTTCATGATGAACTGCATCAAGACATGTACAATTTATAATTGCTGCAAACTGTTTGGAAGCATTAAAAGTGTCCAAGAAAATCTTTGCACACATTGACTCAGAGACTGTTTAGATGCATGTCACTGATGAGAAGGTAATGGATGTTTACTGTATGATGACTGAAGTGGCCATAAAAGCCCAGCAGACACAAGACATCAACATGACGTCAGATTGACGTTGTACCCTAACGTCACAAGGATGTTGCTATTTGTTTGGAAATAAAAAAAATCGAGTTGACATCAGAACTCAACGCCAGGCCGACTCCATTGTCCAATGTCCAACCTAAAATCAACCAAATATCAACGTCTAATGATGTTACAGCTTGACGTTGTGTGGACGTTACCACTATGACGTCTATCAGGATTTTGGTTGCCATACCTGATGAATAAATGTCAGTATTTGACGTCAATATGACGTTGGTTTAAAAAGTTGGCTCGACGTTGGATTTTGGTCACGTTCTAACACAACTTAAAATCAACCAAATATCAACGTCATTATTGGACATCAAAATATTGTTGTACTTTTCACCACTGCTTATTTGACCTTTCATCAGTATTGATGTCATCTGTAGGTTTTTAGTATGATGCTTGTTTTTTTTTTAAGAAACTGTTATATTTGTAAATTATGTATTGATTTTTTTTTTACCAATGTTACCATGAATATATATAATATACGATTCTGACAGGATGATAACCTTGGATAAAATATCATGGTTTCATGGTATCACAGTGCTGTGATTACTGCTTTAAAATATGTTTTTTTTAAATCTCAGTATAAAAACATTCTTTTCCAATTAGACACGATGTATTTGATCTTACGAAATATTTTAAAACAACAAACATGTCGAGCTACATAAATAAAACAAATCATTGACTTCTGCTACCGTCATTAGAACAGATTTCTTTTCAAACCGAAAAGTGATCTTGCGATATCTTTCTTTTCTTTAAATATAATGTAAGCCATTGTTCAGATCCATAGCATGCTTGGATGTAGGTGCATAAGTAAATAGTTTTTCAAATGTTTGTTGGGCTGACCTGTACCCTTTTAGTATAGATGGTCATTTGCTGCTGGAGAAACAGTTGCCCTAAAAATAGATTAAATAATGTTTGACAATATTTGTATAAAAAAAAAAAAAAAAACATGTATACCACAGAAACGGTGCCTTTTTAGCAGTTTTAAAACAGTGACTTCCAAACAGTGGTAAACCTTAAAACCATAGGTTATTGCCCCATGCCTAGCTGATATGGCATTAAAACATAAATTAATAAATGAATGCTTTTCCTGCTCACTAAAATGCATCTCTCTCTTTCCCTAAAGGTGCTGACTGTGAGACGTTTTGGGACATAAACTCTTTGATGGATAACTGTTACCAGTTTAACTTTCAGGCTACACTGTCTTGGAGTGAAGCGCGGACCAGCTGCCAACAGCAGGGAGCAGATCTGCTCAGCATCACCAAAGTAGAGGAACAAATCTATGTCAATGGTGAGAGACAGAGGGAAATAAACATGATTACGCTCATTACCATAATGGTTTGGTTTGGGATGGGATCAGAAAAGTGTTCTGGTAAAAGCCATTAAATTGCTGCTCTCCTTTTGTTTAAAGCTCTGAGGAATTTGTTTATAATGTGGGTGTGTGCGTGCTTGTGTGTAGGTTTGCTCATCGGATACAGTGCCACCCTGTGGATGGGTTTGAATGATCTGGATCTGAATGGTGGCTGGCAGTGGGCTGACTCCGCCCCTCTTAAATACCTAAACTGGGAAGCAGGTGGGGCCATGCTATTTAAAGACACACCTACATTTAACCACACCCACACAGAGACCGAAACCAAGTGGTACTCACTGCAGAGTAACATGGGCAGCGCTGAGCTCCAGCTGCTCCTTGCTGCACTTCTTCTACAAGTAATGTCACTCGGGGTTGGAGTTAGGGTTGGGGTAGGTGTACACATTAAAACAGATTATAGGAGGAGTAGCTGGAGCTCAAGCTCCCCCTCATTAGAGGTGAGCTCCACCCACGTGGCACTGCAGCAAGCATCTTCTCACTGAAACAGCACATTAAAGGGATAGTTTAATAAAAATAAAAAAAATACAATTTGGTAACACTTTATTTTGATGATCCATTTGAGTATTAGTAGACTGTCTGCTTAATATCTCTTGATACTGCTCCTTAAACAGACATTTAACTGACTATAAAAAACTTTGCAAGTACATATTAACTTACACTAACCCTAACCCCAACCTAACAGTCTATAATCTAATGAGACTTAGTTGGCATGTAGATGCAATGTAATTTAAATTCAACTTATGAACCATCAAAATAAAGTGTGACCTAAAATTCTGTCATCATTGAACACCCTTCATTTGTTTTAAACCTTTATACAGTTTTTTTTAACACGAAAGAATGCTGGAAACCTGTAACCATTAACTACTATAGTATTGGTTTGTCCTACCGTGTTAGACAATGGATAACATTTTTCAGCTTTCTTCAAAATATCTTTCGATATAAAGTAAATAATTGATATTTTGAGCTAAAATTTTCATTTTGGTGTTAACTATACCTTTAGAAATTAGTTGTTTGGAAATGTTTGCAATTTTATAAACTTTAATGGACTTTAATTTAACTACCATAGCTATACATTTAATTGTATAGCTATGGTAGTTTCAAGTCACTTGTAGAGCTTCATAATTCCTTTTTTTTCCTAAGTTATTTATTTATTTTATTTTTGTTTATTGGTGGTGGGCTGTTATCGGCGTTAACGTGCTGCGTTAACACGAGACTTTTATCGGAAGATAAAAAAAAAATTGCCGTTTATCTATTCTCAAAGTTGGGTTGGGAGCTGGGTCTATTCTACGCAAGCTATGATGACTTTCACCTTGATATTTAAGCGCAGATGTATATCTGACCGGTGAGCCGTCTGACAAAAAAATGCCCTACTGAATCAAATCAGCAGGATGCCCTTCTGGATCTTTTACTTACTTCAAAAACACTACAGACTACGTTTACATGGACATCTGTAATCTAGTTATTTGCCTTAATAGACAATAATATAAGTAAGGTGTTTAAGTGAAGTGTTTTAATGTAAGAGTTTTCTGTAATTTTGGGTGACTTTAACTGCAGTTCAGCAGGTTACAGTCACTCATGAACATTTCATTTATTCACCCGTGACAAACTGGGGTATTAAACACAAATAAGGAGTGATGACTGGTGAGAGTGTTATGGAATTTATTAAAGGATGCCAAATGGAAAGAAAAAAACTTTCGCAAGAACAGTTTCTCAAGCAGTTTGTGATGCATTTTGGAAACAGGAGATGAGCCCCTGGTCTAAAGCGCCACCAAGCTTGAGAAACCCGTTCTCAAAGAATTACTTTTAGTCATTATTTGGGTAGCACACATATTCTAAATGCCTTCAGCAGGATTTAAATGAGCCATGTTAATCTAAATTAATCTACATTACTTCCAAGATTACAGTGAGATTAATCGAGATTAAAAAAAACTATGCCCACCTAAACTATTTATTTATTAATTAATTAATTTATTTATTTATACTGCCATTAAAAAATTTCACTATTTTTCTTTTCAAAATAATTTATGCTCAAATGGAATTGATAAGAGACATTCATAAAACATTTATAAAATTATAAATGCTTTCTCTTTTTTTCCAAATGAAGTGTTATAATATGTATTAATGTTTTCACCAAAATATTAAGCAGCTCAGCTAATTTCAATGTTGATATTAAATTAAATGTTTATTAGGGACCAAACATACAACAATACTAGAAGGTTTTTAAGAGTCGTTTTATTACAATTATATTTAGCAATTATTATTATTTTATTATTTAATGTAATGTAAGATGTGCACTAGTAATATGTCATTTTTGTTCCGGCAAGGCAACATGTCGGCTCAGTGGTTAGCAATATGTATAATATGTGTCAAATCTTTCCATCAGTCTTTTTTTTTTTTTGGTCCTTACCAGTGACCAAGTGACAAACCAGTTGACTGTATCCAGTTGTACTGTGTATAGGAGACTGTATATTTTTTGTATATTTTATAATACTGAACAACTTCTAACAATATTTTCTCTTTTCTTTTCTTTTCTTTTCTTTTCACAATTATCTGCTTGCTTGGCAGTTTTTAGCAGTTTGCATTTTACTCATTATATAAGAGCTCATTTGCATCAATGTTAGCAAGGATGTATTTTTATCTTGGGGTTGTGCTTGTGTTATAGAAATGCCAAGTTATGACGAGGAAGAAAACTGTGGTGTGATCAGCACTGATGCTCAGGGCCGCTGGCACAACAGAGACTGTTCAGTGGCTCTGCCTTACATTTGCAAGAAACGACCTAACGCCACACTCGACCCCTTCACCACAGGTATGTATGTGCGTGCGTGCAAGCGTGTGTGCGTGCACATTTATGGCTTGTGGAGCACATACAATATAAACATACAGAGTAGAGTTACCACTGCATACAATCCTTAAAATCCTTAAATATGGCTTACATTATTTTAGAGGTAAACCTTGTATGGCCCTGCCATTCAGTTTTAGTATATTCAGCCAACATGGAATGTTTGTTTTAAGTGCAAAATAATCTTAAATTTAAATTCTGCTGAGCCACCTTAATTGAACACTCCAGTTTATTGGAAATAGGCTCATTTTAAAATTTCCCTAGGGTGGTTTTCAGCCGATCTCTGGGTCTGGTGGGAGCACTTTTAGCTTAGCTAAGCATAAATCATTGAATCAGATTAGACCATTAGCATCTAAAAATCTCAAAAGTGTGTTAATAATAGTGCACAATGCTGTTTCTTGTTACTTAGCTGATGACTTTCAAGAGATTCTGAAGCTGTGTAGTATTACTGCTCTTGTTGCATCCATGTTTCTGCAGCAAAGTTCTTTGACTATTACACCAGAAAAATAACATTTTTAAAATTTCTATAAAATTACAAATGCTTTCTTTGTTTTCTAAATGAAAAGATTATAGTTCCTAGCAGGGCTTGACATTAACACCCACCAACCCCCCATATGTGGGTAGATTTCAGCAATGACAGGTTAAATAGCTGCTAACCACTTGCCACTTTGGCTAGTGGAAATTTTTTTAAGACAATTTGTCAATATGCTGATGGTAATATATGTGGTCATTACCCTGGTATCCTGGCCTAATTTGCCCACTGGCCTCTGTCTATCATGACCTCCTAATCATCCCCATATAATAATTGGTTTAATTGTGGAGCGCATGATTTTTTTTTTTTGAGACTCAAGCAAACAGTGTCCGGGGCGCCGCAACAGATTTTGAGTTGAGTATGAACCACTTTAAAGAGATTTTAGTCTGAAACAGTATGACTGTACAGACATCTTTATGATCTTTAATCATAGAGATAACCTGATGATCAATAATTATTGGCTAGAAATTGCAACAGCTGTGGGAAAGGAGGAAATCTTTTGTGTTGAAGGTTTGGAAAAATCTAAGTGATGAATTTGTTAAAGCCAATAGAGTCCATGGCAAAAGTGGAGACCCAGGTACACAATTACAGATATATGTTTTTCCACCATTCATAGGCTTAACACTGATGTATAGTTACAGTTTTGGATTTAAAACAATATAATAGTTACAAAACTATAATTAAGGAACATTATTTCTTTTATAAATGAAAAGAAATATTTGAAGCTATCGCTTTACAGTATACTGATGCCCTGTTTTTCTGGACTTTATTGGTGATAATGGTCAGGAATGTAAGACCATTATTGCCTTTTTAGCATACAGTAAGCATAGGACAGAAACTAGCCAGATGTGTGGATTGTGGAGCGGGCTAAATCTAAAAAACATCTGTAATTTTTAGTAAATGTACTTTTATTTGCTTTTATTCTTGCCATAATAAAAAATATATATTTGTAGTAACTTGTGTTTTGTTTGTGTTTATTTTTAGAGTAAACTGTCTGAGATATGAACGAAAGCAAGTGATGCATCAAAGTTTGATTTAAAAAAGAAATCTTGAATGGTTATAAAAATCTTTATAATCATTAAATCATAAAAATAATTTATAAAAATAATAAAAACAATTATTTTAAACATATTGAATGATATTAATGAAGATGCAGCGCCAGGCAAAGTATAAATCCAGCTTAATAATTTGCAGAAATTGTTACTAAAAACAAGACAAAACATGAAGAAAAACTTTTTTGCACTGTAAAAGTCCAATCCTTGTTTTTCCTTCATACAGTGAAATGATACAGCCTTATTTAACTAGAAAAACAACAACCTCAAAAAGAAATTGAAAAAAGAGATCATCAAAGTTTTTCTGATTACAAAATTGCCTGAATTTTCAGACATAAAAATCAAGATCGTTCGTCACTACTTTTGAATTGAATATCTCCTGAGTGTGTCTCTGTTTGTGAAACAGACTCGTGGGCAGATGATGGCCATTACCAGTGTGACGTGGGCTGGCAGAACTTCCAGACGGGCTGCTATTGGCTGAACTCAGACAAACTGGACTGGAGATCAGCTGACAGAACATGTCAGAAGATGGAGGCTAATCTTGTTAGCATACACACCCTGCCAGAGCTCGAGTACATCACGAAACATATGAAGAAAGGTATACACAATTCACATTCACATTGACCAATATACAGATAACACAGACATTTAATTATCCATTTTGAGTCTTTAAGTGAAAGCAAGAAATTTAATATATAATCTCTTTTTTCAGTATTAAGGTGTTTATATTATAAAGGTCTGGTATTTTCTTTTTTTTTTACCAAATTGATTTATATATATTTTTTATGCTTTTATGTTTAATCAACAGCGTAATAACTAAATAATAATTTATTTACATATTAACTAATTTCTAATAACTGATTTCTTTTATCTTTGCCATGATGCCATTATTAAATGTATATGCTGAATCACTGTGTGTTGATTTGCATATTTTCGTAATTTTTCAAGACACTAGTATTCAGCTTAAAGTGAGCACAATTTAAAAGCTTAACTAGATAAATTAAGTTAATTAGACAAGTTAGTAAGTAGAGAAGTCATTGTACAACAATAGTTTGTTCAGTAGACAATCATTGCTTAAGGGGGCTAATAATATTGACCTTGACCTTGAAAAGCTGCTTTTATTGTAGCCAAAATAAAACAAACAAGACTTTCTCCAGAAGAAAAAATATTATCAGACACACTGAAATTTCCTCTGTTAAACATCATTTCGGAAATATTTAAAAAAAGAAAAAAAAATTACAGGAGGGCTCATAATTTTAACAACTGTAATTGGTTTAATTGTGCACAATGTTCAGCCTCTCTTTGTCTCTGTGTGTCTTAGATATAGAAGAGTTGTGGATTGGTCTTCATGATACAGCAATGCAGATGAACTTTGAATGGACGGATCGCACTCCAGTCATCTTCACTTACTGGCACCCGTTTGAACCCAACAATTTTCGAGAGGTTAATGAGGACTGTGTCACCATCTGGGGCCCTGTGAGTATTTTTAAATGTGACCCTTAACCACTAATATTCTTATAGTCATATACAAAATTAGTTGTATTTGTGGCACAATATAGCCAAAAATGCACGGTATGAGTCAAGAATATTTAGAATATTTAGTGAAGATCTATTCATGTTATTTTTTACCAGTAATATTCATTGCTAACCATTTCATTTGTACAACTTTAGAGGTGATTTTCTCAATATTTCGCACTTGCATATTCAAATAGCAGTATAGTATATACTATATAATATTATAACAGTATATTACTTAGAATATTGTAATATTATAATACTATACAACTATAATAGTAGCCACAACCATATCACCCTGCAGCCGAAGACTGATTTCTTGAAGCTAAGCAGGGCTGAGGCTGGTAAGTAGCTGGATGGGAGACCACATGGGAAAACTAGGTTGCTGTTGGAAGTGGTGTTAGATAGGCCAGTAGGGGGCGCTCAACTTGCGGTCGGTGTGAGTCCTAACGCCCCAGTAAAGTGAAGGGGACACTATTCTGTCAGTGGGCGCCGTCTTTCGGATGAGATGTTGAACCGAGGTCCTGACTCTCTGTGGTCATTAAAAATCAAAAGAGTAAAGAGTAGAGGTGTAACCCCGGTGTCCTGGCCAAATTCCCTCCATCGGCCATTAACCATCATGGCCTGCCAATCGTCCCCATCCACCAGATTGTCTCTATCACTGACTGTTGTCCTGTGGCTGCCGTTGTATCATCCAAGTGGATGCTGCACACTGGTAGTGGTGTATCATGATTGTGAAGCGCTTTTGGTGTATGGCCTTACACAATAAATGCACTATATAATTACACATTACATTACATTAGTATCTTTAAATATTGTCCTTATTTATTCTTATTTATTTTTTCCAGACTGGTTTTGTTGTCCTGGGTCATAAATACATGGCATGAAATAACATAATATAATATAATATAATATAATATAATATAATATAATATAATATAATATAATATAATATAATATAATATAATATAATATATTGTTATGTAATGTAATGTAATGTAATGTAATGTAATGTAATGTAATGTAAAGTAATGTAATATAATTTAAATAGATGAAATATTACAATAACAGACCAAACCTCAATGTAAAGCTTACTTATTATTATTTATTAATGTTATTAATATATTAAATATTATAAAAATTATTTAAAGGGCCCACTTTCGGCTTAAGTCTACCACAGAAAAAAAAGCATCATAGTGGGCGTGAAGCTCAGTGACCAGAGGCAGGAGTGGGTGTGGCCCGCAAAGCAGTGGAGAAGGAGGGGAGCAAACAAATGTTGTCAGTCGGCTCACAAAATGGGACACAAACCATGAGGACACGCATGATTTTATAGATTATAAAGTTAAAACGCAAAGAAATAAACAGTAATTTAATACCCTGCAACATTTGTTATTCATTATTTCATATACACATAACCACAATTTATATCATTATAAAGATAATCGTGTTCATATAAACACTATAAATGAGGACTTCTCCCTCAATCCCCGGGTCTGAATGCAGACTCAATGCAGCTGGTCTCTAATCTATTTCAACCATTAGCCCTGCTGGTAATCTGGAGGATTTAGGCGAACACAGCAGCACGGCGATGTGTCTAAATGTGAATGAACTGATAAAAGACAAAAGTCCGCCATTCTCCAATTCTCGCACTGCTCTCCCGACAAAAATGCTTGCTGCACACATACAACTTTTCTGTATCGGCCCTAACAGAATTGCAGGAAAAAAACATGCATCAAACATGATCCGTGTATCATGGATACAAACACATACAACCTTTCATGACCAGATAAATACTGTGTGCGTGGGTCCGTGGATGCGGTCTCACCCAGTCATCAACATAGGGTCTCACATCTTGGCACTGGCAGGTCTGTTTTGCCTTCGTAAAGCATGCACAGTCATGAATAATTAAGAAGCCGGCTCTTCTCAAAGGATAAGAAAACTCCGCTATGAATAAAAATGAGAAACCGGCGCGTCATCACTTCACTTGCAGTTTTGCACTTCGTCACCGATTTTGATCCCAGCCCAAAAATCATTTTAACCCCGGAAGCTAAAAGTAGCTGACAAAAGCTCAAAATTATCCAGTTTTCCCCACAATTAAAGCTGGCTGGTGCTAACATTTTCTTAACGGATGCTCAACACACACAAATCTGTTAAAATCTCAACAACAACAAAAAAAGAACTTAACCCTAATGACCATAATTTTGTGGTCCAGGGTCCATGATTTTTTCATATTAGAATAATTTATAATGACTCATGTAACACTGAAGGAATGATGCAAAATGTTGTCAAGACCCGAGTAAACTACCTTTTAAACTCCAAAACATAAAACAGTTATTTTAAATAGTGGTGATATTTCACTTAATTACAGTTTTTTAAGAAATTGAAAGCAGCCTTGATTTAGTGTCAGTGACTTTTTTCCATGAACATGAAATACTATAAAATCCACCTCAAACGTTTCAGAATGAGCTTAACTGTAAAGCAACTAATGCAGAAAAAAACCTAAATGAAATCAAAAGTATTATTTTGGTTCTTCTCTGGAGATTTCTGTGGGAATTCACTCATAGGATGTTTTGCAGCATACCTCATTTCTGTCAGACTGATGCTAATGGATATGAATCCTTTTTATTTTATACTCGTAATTAAGACAGTGCAACCTAAAAGGCTAAATTTATAGCAGCTTCATAGCGATAACCCCTCATTATACAGTGTGTGTATGTGTGTTTGTAGGAGGGCCGCTGGAACGATAGCCCATGTAATTACTCTCTGCCCTCCATCTGTAAGAAACCGGCCCAGAAAGCTGACGACCGGATACAAGACCACGGCTGCAAACGGGTAAATCATTCCAGGCTTTCACTTTGGTTGCCTTTTTTTTTTTTTCCTTCCGCCTCTCAGTCTTCCCTGTCTTTTAATTCATTTCAATCCTCTAATTATGCCTTCTTGTTTTGTTCTGTGCAGCCCCTGCTGTCTTGTGTTTGTTACTTCTGTTTAGCTGCATTTCTTCTCCTCCGTACTTTCTGTCGCTCTCTTTCTCTGTGCATAAAGAGTCCATTCAGAGCCGCTGCTGTGTCATGCTGTTAAAACACCAGATGTGGTCAGCAGAGCCCGACCTGACACAAGCGTACAGTAAACAGAGAAGTCTGACTCACATATGCTAGTACTCATAACTCAGAACTGCTAGCGAGGACAAAAATGTGAGGTCACGGGCCGAGTTATACTAACAAATGCAAAATGTGCATACGTTGGCTGAAATTTTTTCTTAAATTTAAATGATACTGTGTTTTTTATACATTAAGGAATTGTGGGTACATTTCATTCAAGCATTTTCTGTTCCTTTTGCTTACACTGAAATGATATACAACAAATGAGTAGTCTTCAGTAAACTCAATCCATTATTAAAGATGCAGTATGTAATTTGACACCCAGTGGTTGAAGTAGGTATTGCACTACTGATTCAAAACACACACAAGCGCAGGTTGGCAGATTGACAACACCAACAGAAGTGTGCCTGACTATTGAGCGTAAAGGCTGATTTAATTTATGTTCTAAAAATGCAACGACATGCGATAGATGTTGTTCCAACCAATAATGCTAAAAATGTGAGTTTGAATGCTATTTTACATGCCATTTATTGGCATACTACAGAAAGCAGCAGCAGATAGTTCACTTCAGATCTTATAAAAAAAACTAAATAAAAAATAAAATAAACCGTTTTAAATTGAACTTCAGAACTGTGACTTAGTGCAAGTAAATCATTTCATTGGAGTGCAGTAAGTGCACTATTCTGTGCTTCTGAATGGCTGTATTTAAATTTCAGTCATGTTTCATTTGGTCCAAATTAATTTTCTTTTCGGCTTAGTCCCTTTATTAATCTAGGGTCGCCACAGCAGAATGAACCGTCAACATATACAGCATATGTTTTACGCAGCGGATGCCCTTCCAGATGCAACCCTTGTCTGGGGAATAATCTACTGTGAATCATAAATATTTTGTACACAAAAATTGACTTTTGCTGCTTATTTAAAACTGCTCATTAAAAATGAGTTGAAACAACACATTTATTAAGGGTTTTTTGGGACAACTTAATTGTTTTATGTTCAATCCTCTTAGATTTGTAAAAAACATTTAAGTTAACTTACACTGTAAACAATGCAGGGTTCCACACAACTCCTTCATGTTGTCTCAACACAAATTTATTAAGTTAATTTAACACTTTTAACAAATTTATGTAGATTGAACATAAAACATTAAGTTGTCCCAATGAAATCTCAAGAGTTGTGTTGTGTTGTTTCAAATCATTTTAAATGAGCAGTTTAACGAGCAAAAACAAAAAAATAAATTTGAGTATAATTGATCTGTTGTAACAGCATGAAGGATTTATTTTTTATTTTTTTAAACAACAGCAAATATACAATTTAAACATGACATCCAAAAAATACAAATGTAACTAATAACATAAAATAAACTTAAAAGTAAATTACATTAATTTAATAAAAAAAAAAAAAACAATTCAATATAGAGATCTTTATAATGATATTATTTTAACCTAACCAATTGACAGCATGATTACTAGTCAATTAACTTCAGCTCCTTTGCCACTATTATTGTATTTTAAAAATTTAGCTATATATATTGGAGTGATTCTATATACAATTGAAAATCTAATAGCTACCTTTAAACAAGGTTTAGTGTTATTTAATCTGCATTTATGAACATGAAATTTACCAAGCAAAATCAATAGATTCAATATAAATTCTATGGATAAATAGTTTGAAACAAAATAAAAAAATAACATCTTTGTTGGTCAAATTACAACTAAAACCTTTTTTTTTTTTTTTTTTTTTTTTGGACATACAATGATAGATCTTCCCAAATTTTTTTTGAATGTTCACATTCATAAAAAAGATGAATCCGTCCATCTGCAATAATTTAGTTGATGTGTAATTGCTAACATATGATGTGTAAAAAATTTTAGTGTAGTTCCCTGTATTTATTACCTATGCAAAAACAAAAAGGATGCAACCAAGCCTTTTTCCACACAATATCTTCAAACTAAACATTCCAAAAGAATTTTCATCTAGGTTTTAAGGCTCTGTTTTTAAAAAATATTAATCTAATAACTTTGTGTGTACATTTTTACTACAAAAGTCTACCCCATTTAAGTAAAGTGCAAAATCATTTCTACTAGTACTATATGAAGACATATGACTTCTCATTAGCATTAGTAAACCAGAGGGAATGACTTTTGTTACAAAGTTATATTCTTTAAATTTAATAGGGAATATCCATCTTTCCATAAAATTTTTGTAAGAAAGTAAATTTTCTGATTGGTCCAAAATATCAGATAAGCAAAAAAATATCTTTACCTGTCAAATTTTGCGGGTAGAGAGATTTCCGGTTAACAGTAATATGAGAATTATTCCACAAAATTACTTTATGGGGCGAGAAATTGTGCATGTAACAGAACTTCCACGCTTTAAGAGCTTGTTGATAAAAATTGGACAATATAACTGGTAGCTTATTAACAGAGTAGTCACACGTTAGTAAAAAACGCAATCCTCCAACGTGACAGCATGAAGGAATTGTGTGGAAGCCAGAGGGAGTGACATCTCTTGAAGCAAGTCACATGCTTTTTCTATCAGTGCTTCAAATATTGTTATATTACTTTTTATAAATGATGGAACAGAGTTAGGTGGCGCAGTGGGCAGCACTCTCGCCTCACAGCAAGAAGGTCACTGGTTCAAGCCTCGTCTGAGTCAGTTGGCATTTCTGTGTGGAGTTTGCATGTTCTCCCTGCGTTCGCATGGATTTTCTCTGGGTGCTCTGGTTTCCCCCACAAGACATGTGGTAGGTAGGTAAATTGGGTAAGCTAAATTGTCTGTAGTGTATGTGTTTGAATAAGAATGTATGGGTTTTTCCTAGTGATTGGTTGCAGCTGGAAAAGCATCCGCTGCGTAAAACAAATGCTGGATAAGTTGGCAGTTCATTCCGCTGTGGCGACCACAGATTAATAAAGGAACTAAGCCAAAAAGAAAACTAAATGAATGAACAGAGTAGACCAGAACATAGGGACAGGCTCAAAATTTATTTATTTTAATTACTGAAATTACCAATAATAAAAGAAAAAAATGTACAGTGGGAGCCTTTAAGGTAATATTAAGTTAAATACTTCCTTAAATTCACATCTCATTCACTGTACTTATAATTTAAGCTTTATCACTTACACCTTTGTCATTCACGTCTGTCAATATGAATCAATATAGTGCAGTTACCGTGCTGTGACCCTGGTAATAGACATCTGTTAAAGACGAGCTGTGACCCTGAATGCCAAAACACAGGTCAGAGTGCAGAAGCTACACGTGGACACCCTAAAGCTTTAAATCAGACTGTTTGACTAAATTTACTTATGCTCTTTCCCCAAATGGTTCTTATGAGTGTAAGATCAGAGTGTACTGTTGCTTTTTGGGTTGTATGTTGCTACGCTGTAATGCTGGGCGGTTGCTATTATTTGCAAAATAAGTAAGCAATGAGTAATTCATACTTGTAGCACAAATAGTGAAGAAGTCCAATTTGAATTTGTATGTGTAACTGTTTATATTCACAATATGTGACCCTGCATCACAAAACCAGTCATAAGTGTACATGTTTGGAAATTGATGAACAGTTTGCACACCATATCAATTTCCCTTGATGTATGGTTTGTTTGGATAGGACAACGTTTGGCTGAGAAACAACTGTTTAAAAACCCCAAAAATCGAAACATTGAGAAAGTTGTGTTTAAAGTTGTCTAAATTAAGATCTTAGCAATGCATATTACTTTTTAAATATTTATAGTATAGGTCATTTACTAAATGTCTTTATGGAAGATGATCTTTACTTAATTTTACATTTTTTTGAGCATGAATCATCAGCAATAATTTTGACCCATGCAATGTTTTTTTTTTTTTCCCCAAAAAATATTCCTGTGCAACATAAGACATTTTTGTGCTCCAGGGTCACTTTATTTTCTTAAAAAAATGAATGCATCTTTGCAGAAAACAAGAAAATACAGTTTAAAAATCACCCACATTTTTGCAACAATGTTTGCATTTATTATTCATAAGCAGTTGATGATGAATGGTCAGATTTATTATTATTATTATGCATTCATTCATTAATTTATTTTCGGTGTAATCGCTTTATTAATCTGAGATCGCCACAGCGGAATGAACCGCCAACTTAACCAGCAATGTTTTACGCAGCGGATGCCCTTCCAGCTGCAACCCATCACTGAGAAACGTCCATACACTTATTCACACACACATACAGACAATTTAGCTTACCCAATTCACCTGTACCGCATGTCTTTGGTCTTGGGGGGGAAACCGGAGCACCTGGAGGAAACCCATGCAAACACGGGGAGAATATGCAAACTCCAAACAGGAATGCCATCTGACCCAGCCGAGGCTCGAACTAGTGACCTTCTTGCTGTGAGGCGATGATTGTGCTACCCACTGCGCCACCGTGATGCCCCTATTATTATTATTATTGTTATAATTACTTATTATTATTATTATTATTATTATTTTTATTTTTTTTTTTTTAACAATAATAATCTCTTGCCTTCTTTTCTCATGTCGGTCTTTCTTCGACAAATTTAAAAAGTTGACAATGTACAGTCATTTCATAAGACATTAACAGACACTTTATGCGGATGAAAATCTATTGTTATTAGAATGTAATGTTCATTTTTGTGATGATCTGCTAAATGTGAGACAGTGAGGAAGTGCATGTGTCTGGAACAGCACACCACAGCAGAGCAGACAGCCGGCAGACAGCCGGCAGACAGGTCAAGTTACCGACTCTGGCCAAGTGCTGACGTGTAATTTAGGTGCATTCCTTAAAACGGCAGTGTGTGCATACTATGTGTGTGATTCTGCATGTTTTGTCCTGCTATTTTTTTAGTGAATGCATTTTGCCATAGGTCAGATTCACCTCCTTACAGAACCAGCCTAACACAGAATTCCTTGCTAGTACTGACTGGTTTATGCTGTTGGACATCAGGGCTGTGATCAGATCAAGACAAGATAAGTTTAAAGATGAGTTGGACATATTAACAATTGGAAGTTTACAAAATATATTGATGGACATCATATTTTCCTAATATTTGAATGATTTTTCCTAATCATATTGGGTTCATGAGAATGAGATGAGTTTTTTACACTGCATTTTTAAGAAAGTCCTCATGACAAAATATATGACTGGGAAAAAAGTCTCCAGGTGCATTTTGAAAAGTTCTAACTATTCGTCTTAGGAAGAAGAGCTGCAGTGACATACTTTACGAGTATGAATGCAGGAAAAAAAAAACTCATCAGACAGTTTCTTCAGACCTCAGAACTGAAGTGAAGTGTGAGAACTGCATGAAATATGAGCTTCTGCAACTTCTGGTTGAAGGTGGATGTGACCCCATAACGCAATGGAAAATACATAATAGTAAAAAAAATAAGTAATAACTTCAGTTTTTTTTTTTTTGGTCTTATTTTTAAGTGCAGTCATAATCACTCTATGAACTCTCTATAAGCTATTTTACTATTTATTCATTAATTAAGCATTAAAATGCGACTAGACATCACACGTTTGTACCTAAAATGTCTATATTTTTACCTCAGAGTTTCAAGAGGTACATTTTTTAACTATTTTTGGTTTGTTTATGTGACCCTATGACCTCAAAAAGCTTTTTTATATTTTAAAATAGATATTATACATCACATGTAAGCTGAATATTGCATTGATGTGTGGATATCTGAACCACAGATAACTGAAGCTATCTGAAAATCTGGAGGTTCAAAACAATAACATTAATAGAAAAGGTTGTCCTAATTAAGTACTTAGCAATGCATTATTAAAAAAAAAATTGAGTTTTAACATATTTACAGTGGGAAATTCGCTAAATATATTCATGGAACATCATCTTTTCTTAATATTCAAATGTTTTGTTGCCGTTTCTGTATAGAGTTTGCATGTACTTCTTATGTTTGCATGGGTTTCCTCCCAGTGCTCGTTTCCCCTACAGTCCAAAGACATGCACTGTAAGTCAGTTGGATTAACTAAATTGGCCGTAGTGTATGAGTGTGGGTGTGTGAATTTGAAAGTGTATGGGTGTTTCCTAGTACTGGGTTGTGGCTGGAAGGGCATCTGCTGTGTAATCATTTTGACTCATTCAATGTATTTTGTGACTAAAAAAAAAGTTTTGTGATCTCATACCTTTATGTCTGAGAGTGAATGCAAAAAATCTTAGTTTAAACAATGTTAACAATGTTTCAACTATTCGTCTTGTAAAGTACTGCATCATATGCCACTTCAGCTGTATATGAATTGTCATGTCCTGTGTAAGACAGAACAATACACTTATTTAGTAATGCTTTATTTGATGGTCCCTATTGCACATTTTATTGACTAAAACTTGCATTGCAACTACATGCCAATTAATTCTCATTTAAGTATTAGAAGACTGTCTGCTTAATATCTGCTGATACTGCTCCTTCAGCAAACATTTAACTGACTATAAAAAACTTTGCAAGTACATGTCAACTTGCTCTAACCCTAACCCCAACCTAACAGTCTACTTGTAATCTAATAAGAATTAGTTGGCATGTAGATGCAATGTAACTTAAATTCAATGAAATGCATTAAAGAGACCATCAAAATAAAGTGATTCCACAGATTTTGCAACATACACAATTGACCGGCAACTCTTCTGTATGATTTCAAAACTGCATGAAATATGAGCTTCTATAACTTCTGACTAGCAGCTGACAAAAGCACTTTAAACCCGGTGTGACCTATTTATCCATAAAACACAATGAAGCATTTTTTACAACTCGCTCTGTTGAATTTCCGCAGGGATGGAAATGGCACAGTCCCTCCTGTTTCAAAGTTGGAGAGGAATCCCTAACTTTTAAAGATGCAAAAGAAATGTGCATTAGCAACAATGCCACTCTCGCCATAATTAATAACAGGTATTGAATGACAGCATAACAATATGCAGTGTACATAATCACGATTCAACAGTTGTTCCTGAAATGAAGGAATAATGAAGTCTATGCTGTGTGTGTATCCAGGTTTGAGCAGGCGTTTGTGAGCAGTCTGGTGTTTGGACGAACTGATGATCAGTTTTGGCTTGGCCTTAATAACGAAAACAGCTCCGGCACATTTGGCTGGATAACCGGAGATGAGCTCACATACACCAACTGGAACAGAGACCAGCCAGGTACAAACACACAGTCATATTGAGGACAAGATATCCAAGTTTGGGGAGTAACAAAATACTTCATTATGTATTTAGAACACACATTATGACAGAATCTCATTAAATGTTGGATGTACTTAGTTACAAAGTAACTAGTTTCTGTAATTAAACGACACTGTACAAAATACTGGGTTCCGCACAGTTCCTTCATGTTGTCCCAACACAGACCGATTAAGTTAACTTAAATGTGTTTTACAAATTTAAGTGAACTGAGCATGTTTTGTTTTCCCCAAAAAAACTCAAGAATTGTGATGTTTCCGCTTATTTTAAGTAAGTTGTTTAAACTAGCAGCAAAAAATTATGTTTTGAGGGTACATTCCTTATTTTCATTTTTAGGTAATTTACATAAAATTACTTGTAATATACTTGCCTTTAATACTGTAAATAAATGCACCAGTTGTATATAAATCAATTCAGAGAAGTATAATAATTTATATTTGGTGAAAATGTTAATTTTTATAAACTAAAGAACACTATAAAGGCAACCACATATGCTTGAGAAAAACATCACCTTAGAATATCATCACCTTAGAATTATAAGGTTCTATCTGACATTTTTGTCAAAATTGAGTTATTCACATATTCTTATTAAATGACTACTTATTTACATGATGTGATGCTTTTTAATAAGTTGTTTGCATTTTAAGAAAACAAAAACGTTTTTTTTACAAAACTGAATTCTAGCTTGGCTCTATAAGGTTCTTTTTGTGAGCCAATTAGCATTTTTTTATTGCACGAACAAGGACCAATCAGGATCAGATTTCTTTGTCATTTCGCCGGAGTGCTCCATTGACAGCAGGAAAAACCAGAAAGACAAAATCACACAAAATATACTAAATAATGCTGCACCACACAAAATTGAGAAGAAACCTGAAAATGAAAAGATGTTTGTAAATGTAATGATTAAGAAGCATTTTTTGACATTAAGATGAAATGTTTAATTTTACATTGTACATTGTTATTAAAAAGTCATATATTAAATGTGAAATATTTTTATTTGTGTGTATATATATAGTCAGTGAAACATTTTTCAGTGTTTATTAAATTCATTTGCTCATTGTCTGTTTTATTTTAAAGTCTTTAAATTTGATATTAAGGCTTAAAGGACAAAAACTTAATTGAATTCATGGGCATATAATTCAATAAATATAATTCAATAATTCATATAAAGCATAAAATGTAATAAAAATTTACATATTAATTAGATAAAATGAACATCTGCACTGGACAAAATACTTAGCCCAGCCTTGTATGATTCATTTAAACAATAAAATATATTCATCCTAAAACATGAAATAAATGTTATAGAAAGCAAAAATTGAACTTTCTCAAGCATCAACATGTTGTTACAACACCAAATTATATATTTTTGATTGTATTTCTTGAAAAGTAATGCTTTAATTATTGATCCGCCAGATAGAACCTTATAATTTCAAGTGGAAAATGGCTATTCAGAACTAGAAGGTTCTATCTGCAAATGTAAGAGAACTTTGATAATTTACATGTAGAGTACGTTTAGGGTCTCTGTCATGTTACTGTATATAAAAAGAGAACTGTTACACACAAATTGTTTGACATATGGACTGCAAAAACTTTGAAGTCAAATATCTCAAAATCATTCAGAATGCAGATAAAACCTTATACTTCCAAGGTGACAATATGTTTAAAGATTAGTTCATAACAGTATAACATGCAATTCAGAAAAGACAAATAATTGTAATTTTACAGTCATTATAATTCATATTATTCAGATTTTTTGCATATTAATTACATTTCAAGTAAAGGTTTTATTTGTCCAACTACTAAAAATGTTTAGGAAACAATGAAATATAAATGTTTAATGTATAAATGCATTTTAAAAAAGCAATCATTATTTTAAGTTTTAATACATATGTATTGTTTACATTTAAGAGCTAAGCTTTTTAAAACAAATCTAAAAGATCCTGTTTGACTCGGATTTAAAGAATTACGTTTTAATTTCTATTGATTTTTAGCATTCATTAAAGCAATTACATTGCTTATTGAGCAACAAAGTTACTTTTCAGATTAAGTCATTAGAAAATCAATTTAAATACACTTGTAATGATGTAATATGTAATCAATTAAATGATATGTGATAGAAATGCTAACGGTGATGTGCTAATGGTGATGTGCAGCGCAGGTAAAGGGTGGCTGTGTGGTGATGGTGGCGGGTCAGGCTATGGGCCTGTGGGAGGTGAAGGACTGTGCCAGCATTCGCTCCAAATACATCTGCAAACAGAATCAGGGCTCATCTTCCATTCCCAGTCCTCCTGCGCCTGTGCCTACACCCTCCCTGACCGGATCATGTCCTTCAGGGTGGAAAAGCAGCAACTCGTTCAGGCACTGCTACAAGGTGGGTGTGGGTCACCCTCATTTGACTGAAACTGAAAACTTCACTGAAATTATTAATTCGTTTTTTTTTTCTTCAGGTTAGTCTCTTTATTCATCAGGGGTCACCACTGCGGAATGAACCGCCAATTTATACAGTATATGTTTACATATTTATTTAATTATATTTATATATAGTTATATATTTATAATATTTTATTTACACAGCGGATGCACTTCCAGATGCAATCCAGTACTGGGAAACATCCATATACACTCATTCACACACAAACACAATAAGGCCAATTTAGTTGATCAAATTCACCTATAGTGCATGTCTTTGGACTGTTGGGTAAACCGGAGCATCCGAAGGAAACCCGTGCAAATGGGGAGAACAGGCAAACTCCACACAGAAACTGCACTGAGCCACCGCGTCAACCATCACTGAAATTAAAGACATTAAAATGTATTTCACAGAAAGATTTTGTAATTTTCAAACTCATTTCACCTTCATGAAGCAAAGTAACTAAAACAAGAACTATATAGGCAAAATCATAACAGTTGAAAGATTTTAAGAAAACATTTATCTTGAAGTTTGTTGACTTTTTCTAAAATGACCCCATGTTGTTGTTTCATTTTGTATTAAAATACATGTTAAAAAATTATCTCAAAGATTTAGTTTGTCCATATTTAACCCAAGAATTGGTTAAAGCAACCCAGCATTTCCCCACTGCATTCACATTTTGAATTTAAATAAAGAACATGCTCATTTAATTTGTGATTAAATTTTAATTGTTATGAAATATCATATAAAATAAAAAATATAAAATAAATAATTATCTCACATCTCTGCAAATGTATTCAGTTATGTTAAATACGAAGCAGTTTTTTTTTTTAAATACCCAAGTACTGGTTTGTCAAATTTGTAATTATGGCTTTAATATACAGTTAGAAATGGCTATTTTACTAAAATGAAGTCATCAGCAAATGTCTGCATCTGGGGAAATAAGTATTTTTGATTAACTTGTAGATTAAAGAGTAGCTATGTGAGCACACTGTAGCTATGTGAGCATTTTCACTTAATTTTCCCCCATTATTTGTCAAAATTCTCACATTTCAAAAGAAGTGTTATTTAAAACAGTACTGATTATGATTTTTTTTATTTGTATTTCTTCTGTTGGAATTATTTATAAAAAATAATAACCATTTATTTTAGAATAAGATTAGCAGTTTATACCTTTCTGATTAATTATTCATGTTAAAGGGTAACACTTTACAATACAGAACATGTAGTTATGTGTTATTGTATTTAACATGAACAAACAATAAACTATACTTTTGTTATGTTTGTTAACATCAGTTAATGAAAATAATGTTGTTCATTGTTAGTTCATGGTAATTCACAGTACATGAACTAATTATCTAGCACAACTTTAGATTTTCATGATGTTAGACATATACACATACAGTTTAGACATAATTAATTCTGTTTTAGGAAAACAAGTGATAAAAAAATGCCAAATTAATGGTTTAACAAATAGTGAGGATAACAACAAATCTTACAGATCATCTCAATTCCACCAAATTCCTCTTCCTATCATTCTGCTGTAGATTTCAGTTTAATACCCTGTAAAGGTCAATGTTCATTTCAAAGATCAACCAATTCTGAAGTTGGTCTACAAAGCTGTTGTTGTGTGTTTGTAGGTTTTTCATGCAGGTGCACTGGAAAAGAGGCTGACGTGGATTCAAGCACACAAGTTTTGCCAGAAACACGGAGCTCAGCTGGCCAGTTTCAGCACACCGGAGGAGGAGGCCTTCGTCTTCCAGATCCTCCACGAGGCCTTTGGGTACGTGTGTGAGATGAAGGGTGCAGGTCTAAAATCCACTGTGTTTGCAATATATAAATCTCACACCACTGTCTGTTTTTTTTTTTATTGACCTTTTTTACACTCCCTAGAATATTGTTTTTGTTGTGTTTGCATCATGTGTGAATTGCCTGTTCAAGGTACAGTAGCACCTAACAGTTCTGCGTTCTGATTGGCTGTGTGGACAGGGAGGCGGAGGAACATGAGCAGCACTGGCTGTGGATCGGAATCTCTCGCCGCAATAGTGACAGTTGGACATGGAGTGACGGATCAGCTGTAGGTGTTTTAAGATACTGTGACTTTTATTCTATATTTTTTCATTGTATTTTATTCACTCCTCCTACATCATACACAAGTTTCAATGTAACTCTTTGCAAGTAGCTTTGTTGGTTGTAAAGCTGCTTTGAAACTAATTATTGTGAAAAGCACTATACAAATATACTTGATGAATTAGTAAATGGATTTACTAACATGACCAAACAATGAAAAAATTGTTTATTAAAGTTTCTATTCAGCTTTGTTAATGTTAGTTAATGAAAATACAGTCATCATTGTTAGTTCTTGTTAACTTACAGTGTAATAACTAATGTTAACGAGCACAATTTTGGATTTTAATAATGCATTAGTAAAGGTTAAGTCAGGATTAATATATCCCAAACAATTATGCCATACATATTGTTCTTTATTAAGTTATGTTTTTTACATTATTATGTTTATGGTATATGTTAACTAACATTAACTAATAAAACCTTATTGTGAAGTGTTTTTTTGAATTACAAATAAGTACAAATAAAAAGTTTCAAAATTCCTACAATTAAATTAAGCTTTTATTCTTCAGGGTTCTGATTCTTTATATCCAATTATTAAAAAATATTTTGTCCAATCATTTATGATTTATTTGATAAGATTTTTAAAAAATATATATTTTATTTATTTATTTGTTTGTTTATTTATTTATTATTTATTTCTTGTTTAATCATAAAAAAACACTCATATTCCGTACATATCTGAACAATTGCAACTTTTTTATAACCTGTAAAATAAATATTCATTATAAAAAAATAGAGTAAAAAAATCATGATTCATGCAGGTCTTGAAATCACACAAAAAAAGAGAGCCTTCCTTATTCCTATCTAGGTTATACCAAGACCAAAAATATTGTTTGTTGTTTGTTTAAACAACTTATTTAAAACAAGTTGTACAAACACAATCCATACAGTTTTTTTAGGAAAATGTAATTGTTTTATGTTCAATACACTTGAATTTGTAAAAACTAATAAGCTAGCATAATTTCTTCATGTTGTCCCCACGAAAATAAATTGTGTGCCACAGCATTTTTACAGTGAATATTTATTTATTTATTTATTTATTTATTTATTTATTTATTTTTTTTTTTATTATAAACAGGAAAAGAATAAAAGATAATCAGGCCTAAGGATGAATGCTGTTTTTCTTCCTTATCTGTGGAACATACACACACCCTTAACATCTCATCCATCAACACATGAGAACAGAACAAACAATCACCAAACATATAAAATGAAGAGAAACAGGCAGCTATCTCAGTGGCCACAGCAATAGTAACCATCAGATGATGAGCATGTCAGATAAATAACGATGTCAAAATAAATAACTTAATTTAAACAAAATAAAAAAAACAAGGAATAAATCAAAACAATCCTAGTTTTTAGTCATTTTTAAAGGTGATTGCAGTGAAAATTCTGAAGCCCCACTGAACTTTGGTACATAATGCCATTTGAATTTGCTGCTGTGTCAAATATTGAAGTGGTATCAATATGTGCTACTATTACTCTACCATGGTGCCCCCAGAGTAGCTTGTTCTTAAGGATTCTAAAATATGTATATTTTCTTCCTGTTAGGTGACCTATCAGAACTTTGGACGGGGGAATTATGGGTCTGCTGAGTGCGGAGCTGCTAACATGGCCGACACTAACTGGCTGGTGTCCCACTGTGAATCTGAGCTAGACTGGATCTGCAAAATACCCAAAGGGAAAGTAGAAGAGGAACCTGAGAGCCACGAAGGTCCATTACAGCGCATATTAATCCATAAAGCCCCACCCCTTAAGAAATATAACATAACTGAAGTTATATGTGAACTGAATATGATTTACAATGTAAGCAGTTGTGACTGTTAGATATTTGTTTTGTGTGCAGACACTGGTTTAGAGTGGGTTGACTTTGAAGAGGCTCAGTATAAAATGTTTGAGCATCGCTCCACGTGGGACCAGGCTCAGAGGATCTGCTCCTGGTTCGAGGCCTCTCTGGTCTCCATGCACAGCCCAAAGGAGAATCAATTTTTGGTTAGCACTTTACGCAAGGTATGTGCACATAGCAGACTCGCACACAGTCCATAAATATACAGTTGAAGCCAGAACAATTAGCCCCCCTTTGTATTTCTTTTTTTATATTTCCCGCATGATGTTTAACAGAGCAAGGAAATTTTCACAGTATGTCTGATAATATTTTTCTTCTGGTGAAAGTCTTATTTGTTTAATTTAAGCTAGAATAAAAACAGTTTTAAAAGTAATTTTAAGGTCAAAATTATTTGCTCCTTTAAGCAATTTTTTCTTCGATAGTCTACAGAACAAACATCATTATACAATAACTTGCCTAATTACTCTAACCTGCCTAGTTAACCTAATTAATCTAGTTAAGCCTTTTAATGTCACTTTAAGCTGTATAGAAATGTCTTGAAAACATCTAGTCAAATATTATTTATTGTCATCATGAAGATTAAATAAATCAGTTATTAAAAGAGTTATTAAAACTATTATATTTAGAATTGTGTTGAAGAAATCTCTCTGTTAAACCAAAATTGGGGGAAAAAATAAACAGGGGATGATTAGAATATTCAGGGGGGCCAATAATTCTGACTTTTCTGACAATTTGTGTTGGGGCAACAAGACAAAATGAAGTTAAATTTTTTACAAATGTAAGTGGATTGAACATAAAATAATTAAGTCATCCCAAAAAAAAAAAACTCAATAATTGTGTTGTTTTAATTTATTTTAAAGAAGTATTTTGAACAAACAGCAAAAGTCATTTTTTGAGTGTGATTGACATCAAATTTCCAAACAGGTCCAAAAAGTGAGGACGCTGTCAGCTTTGTCTTTGTTATTTCAACAACACATAATTTTTTTTCTTATTTTAAAACCCACATGAAATCTTTGGCTGCTAAAATCTGCAGAATTTTCATCATTAAGTCTATTTATTTATCGACCTATGGAAATGTGTGTGAATATATATTTAGCTGGTTTTTATATTTTTATTTCAGTAATTTTATTGAATAATATGCAATGTTTAGATAATTTCATTACAGTACAGTTTGTAAATTTAATAGTTTTTGTCTATTAGTAGATATATTTTTTGGGAGACTTTCTTTGTTTGTCAAACACGTGGTTGTAATTGGATTTGCATTGTAAACCTTAAATAAATGTAGTATTTTTTATTTTTATGTGATAATTTTTAGTTACTGTACATTTAAAATTATTCCGCATAAATCTGCAGATTTTATTTGACAAAATTCTGCTCAGAAATAGCAAAACAGTGTAAGCAGATACTTTATTCACTATTCAATTTAATTCATGTTTATTTATATAGCGCTTTTTAAGTCTAGATTGTGTCAAAGAAGCTTTACATACAAGTTGCAGTAAAGTCCAAATTTTAAAGTTGAAGTTCAGTTTCGTTCAGTTCAGTGTGGTTTAAATTTTACTGCAGAAAGTCCAAACACTGAGGAGTAAATTCATAGATACGCAGCTCTACAAGTCCCAAACCAAGCAAGCAAGTGGTGACTGTAGCGAGGAAAAAACTTCACCAATTGACGAAGTGAAGCGAAAAATAAAAACCTCAAGAGAAACCAGGCTCTGTTGAGCATGACCATTTGTCCTCTAGCCAAACTTTCTGTGCAGAGCTGCAGTCTAGGCGCCGGAGAAGCTGGATGTCCATCATGGAGAAGCTGCAGGTGTGAGTAGGTCACCAGCGGGTGATTAGGCTGGCCTATAGGATCAATGCGGGGACTCGTTTGTCACTGTGGTCTTTCAGGAATCAGTCTCATGCACTCCATTCTTCCAGGACCACCACAGCATCAGACTAGGATACGGCCTGGTCCAAGATTATGGATACCTTGGCATAATTTCTTCACAGGTCTTGGATTGCATCAGTGGCGCTGCATAATCACTGGGGGCCTCGGGATGAATGTCCCCAGGTGGAAATAAAATTTTTTAGAAAATTAGCGGATTTACTAGTTATCTTGGGCATGAAAGAATGACACGAAAGTAAACAAAGATGGTCATAAAAGATGCCTCTAAATGCATATATGCATGATCTATTGTGATTCGATCACTAAAAGCATGGGTCCGAAAAGTGTCCTTTTTATGTTTCAAAGAAGTTTGAATGTAATATCGATATAAGAATCAGATACGAAACAGAAAATTATTTCATTTTTGGTGTGAATATTTTTTTTTTTTTTGTGGAGCATTTATTTTATTTTACAGTAACTTCTTGGCTGTATATGAAATGTATTTAAAATACTGATTAGGAATGGTGTTTTTTTTTCTGTTTAGATGTCCCGTCAAGAAAATGACCTGTGGTGGGTCGGGTTACACACATTTAAGAACGATGGGAGATTCCGGTGGTCTGATCATTCAGTGCTCAACTATGTGTCTTGGGGGCCAGGACAGCCTCGACCAATCAGCAAAGAGACAAAATGTGTCCAAATCTCTGCCTCAAAAGGTTTGACCCCTTTTAACACACTTACAGATAAAGACAAAATTATTAGCCCTCCTGTTCAATGTTTTAATCCACTCTTTTTCAAATACTTCTCAAATGATGTTTAACAAAGGAAAGAGATTTTCACAGTATTTCTTCTCATATAATAATTCAGGAGAAAATGTGATGTATTTTAAGTTAAGCTGAAATTAATGCAGTTTCATTTTTAGGGTCAATGTCAATAACCACCTTAAGATTTTTCTTTTTTAAATTCAACTCACTGTTGAAAAAACCATTCTTGTCCACTTCACCCAACTAACTTAGTTAAGCCTTTAAAGGGCCATGAACCACCCCCCCCCCCCCCCACATCTCAGCTGGGTGTTTTTACATCTCTAGTTTGAAAAAAAGTCAGGAAAGTGGGTGAGTCCAGCTTTGTTTTTTGTGGGAGTGTCAGGTGGTGAAAGAGGGAAGGACTTGCATGAAAAGAGGATTTTTAGTTTTAGCACGCTCTGATTTTCACAGAGGCAAAACAACACTCAGATGTAGAAGAGAAAGACAGTGACTATAGGACGACTTTACATGGACAGCAGTAACCAAATTATTTGCCAAATTCTTAATTTGTCGACTTTAACTGCAGTTGGGCACTTTCACTTTTATTCTGTTACAGTTCATGCATGCCCTCCTGCTGGAAGAGTGTTGTTTTAATTGAATGTTTGATACGGCATGCCGTATGGGAGAAAATAACCTCTGCGTTTCTTTGTAACTTAGATGCACTTGGTAGGTAGCGTAAGAAAGCTGTGTGTTCGTAGACTATCCTGTAACAAAATGCGGCAAAAATCCTACACGACGCCAACAGTTTAATTAAGGTTTACATATTTACTTTCGGAGAGCAGCATTTACAGCAGACCTTTCAGTCCATAATATTGTAGTGATATTAATGTACTTTAAACTTAGTAATTAAATCATTTTGACTAAGATACTGTATGTTTTTAAAAACTGAAAGAGTACTGCTGATGATACTAACTAACTTTGCCTCTGAATAAACATAAACAAAGAACACTGATCACCAAATCTGTAGATACGACAATCAACACAAACTGGAACTGCGTCTTTTTTTTAAAAGAGATGAGCAGCAAATCGGGATTTCACCATTTCCAGATGCAAACAGATCTCAGGTAAAAAATGTTCCTTACAAACATTTTTTTGTCGCGTGTTAGCAGACCACTGTAATCCACACGTGAGTCCAGCTGCGCTCTTATAGCGGGGAATTGAAAACAAAACCTTCGTTGTGGCACATTTATAAACGCAACACTGACAACCCATGTCTCCAAATAATTCTTCTTCCACTTGTTTTAATTACGGTTGGCAACACAACATGGCGTCTCTCTGCTCTCTGAACACTGTATCAGGTAAAGACAGTCTTTAAAGCTATCATGCATATTAATGAAGTTGCATCTCATTTTCAATAGAGTGCGCTGATTGGTTCGAACCAAGTCTATCTCTTGAATTATTGATGAAAGCTCAAAGACGTCACATTGTACCCGCCAGTACAAACATGCAGTCTCTACACTGGAATTCACACAAGGATCTAACTGCCGTGACGCAGCTTCAAAATTTCTTTTTAAACCAGAAAAACGAATTTGCTCTAAACAATGAACAAACAATTAATTTTCACTTTTTAGTAAAATATATGTGTCCTAATAGTGTTTTTTAGCTGCGTGGGACACATATATGATGATCAATATGTCAAAAATAGGTTGTGGTGTTTCGTGACCCTTCGTTTCACTTATCTTCTCACATATTACTCAAAGTCATAAAAAGAGCTCATTTTCAGTGCTTTATTTTTCTCTCAGGTGACTGGTCAGACCAGAGGTGTCATGTGGATCTTCCGTATGTGTGTAAGAGAGTAAATGTGACCGGCACAATCCCTCCCACACCCTCCCTGCCTCTCACACCCGCTGGCTGCCCTCAGGGCTGGACTCCTTTTTTACACAAGGTAAAAAATAACCTTCCACAACCTGTCTGATTTTACACTGAATTACACTCTTGTGAAATTGAAATTGCACTGTTCAACCCTAGTTTATGTATATATACACACACACACTTACCGGCCACTTTATATATAAATATCAAAAAAGGGGCCATATTTCAAATTTTCGAATGGGAAGTAAATAATTTATTCTTCATAAAAATTTATATGAAGTTAATGCAAAAAATTTGTAATTGCTGAAAAACTATGGTCATTAATGGTAATTTTTGCAATATTTTGCAATATATGTTGCATACATGGCATTTATTTTATATATCTGAAATCCAAACATGAACTTGTGTGTCATATTTGTCATTTATTTATATTTTGCCATATATCAGATTTATATATGGGTAACCTGCAACAGATCTTGCACATATCTGAAGGCTAATTAGCAGTCATAGCTCAACATATAGATTTTCTACGATAAATGGGATATTCATTAAGGAAATGTTGCTTGTGACTTTTATTGTCAAAAAAATGCTCATTAGTTCACATTAATCTTGGTTTGTTTTTGCAGGAGAAGGGAATAAAAATAAGATTGCTTGGTAACGTTATCTGAAAAGGACAGTCATTGCAGTGATATTACAAATATTGTGCCCTTTACACTCATTTAATTAGTAAGAGAATGTAAATGTATGGGTGAACTGACCTTTTAATGTGGCATCAGATGATTCTTTGATAAAATATTATTGGATTTACCGTTATGCTCAAAATAAATGTGAGGATGTTTTCAGTAAATCATGGTAAAAATACATCATCAGTATTATACTTACATATACTGTACATATTATATTATTAATGCTTGAAAACCCATTTTTGTTTGTGACCCACATTCATGTTGCGCATTTTCTCATATCAACAATCCTTGAGTTCTGTTTTCCCCTTCATAACAACAGTGCTATAAGGTGTTTGGAGAGGAGCTGTCGAGTCGCAGCACTTGGGACGCTGCTTCTAAGACGTGTCTGACACAAAGAGCCACACTGGTGACGGTGCCAAACCACAGAGTTCAGGGTAAATCAAACCCACACACCACATAGAAGGAAAACAGGTTACATGAAAACACACACACACACAGAAAAGTGAAAATAGAAAATTTTAATACAAATGCTATCAATATTGGGATTGGCATGCCCAAGTGTCTGTCTGTTATGTATTGCAGTAATTTATGTGAATGGAAACAGGCTAATCTGTTTTTCGCTATTACTCTCTCTTTCTTCAGCGTTCCTCGTGACTCTGCTTCCCAACAGCAGTTTTCATTTGTGGGTCGGACTCACTTCAGAATCACAGGCTCAGTTCAAGTGGTTTGAACCTGGTTTTCTCAGCTACACTAACTGGGCCCCTGGAGAACCAGTGGACAACAAACAAATGAAAAGCCCGGTATCTATCTACTCTGTCTGTCTGTCTGTCCTAGTAAAGACTACAAAATGGCTGTCGATTTTCTATCTAACTATCCATCCATGGTCACAAATATGCATCTGTATGTGTCTCTCTAGGGTAACTGTGTTTTGCTTCTGCATGGTAGTCCTCAGCGGATTACAGGCATGTGGGCGTCTCGCAGGTGTGATGCAGAGAAACATGGCTTCATCTGCATGAAGGATAAAGGTACAGGAACATCTCAAATCCACATGCACACACAAAATACACTTATAAAATAATGGGCTACAATATTAGGTACACCAGATTAACAGCTAGTTAAAGGTCCCATAAAATTAAAATTACATTTTTTAGATGTTAGTTTCAGTCTGTTTGCTTTAAGGATATCCATAAGCTAGTGTGCTCCAAAACAGTGACACATTTTGTGTTTAAAAAAATATGAAACTGAAACATACAAAGCTTGCAGTTTGTCACTTCTGCTTAAATTGATCAACGTTCGTTTTTTTCACGTCGTCTCATACTTCAGTTTCTCAGTAATTCTTGACCAATCAAACACTCTCTAGTGTCTGACATGTCCCGCCCCTTTCAAGAAGCTTCTCATTTCCTTTTCATTTGATGCGCTTGACCTCAACCACTCTCACTGGCAGAGCTATGATAAAAACAAAATGCTATTGGCTGATTTTTTTAAGGGGAGGGGCTACTCTATGTCCTGCCCTCTTTTCAGTTTTCAGTTGAGATTACGTCAAACATTGAATAAAAATGCACATTTCAAAGCACTTCATAGGACATTTAAGGCAAATATCTAATCAGCCATGGCATGAGCCATTTAGGCTTCTTGACAAAGAAAACTGAGCATCATTATAGGAGATAAATGGGAAGTGATCATAACTGTGACCTTTGTTTTTAGTGTCAGAAAAGCAGGTCTATTTCAAAAAAAGTTGTTCTACTCTGATTTTTGTGAACAACCATCACTTTCATTTACATGAAAGGAATTGAAATAGACTAAATATACAGTGAATTGCAGCTCTATGGTTATGGTTTTAAATTGTAGATGTCAGAAATGCGTCCAAACGGAAAAGTAACTCAAAATACTTAATTGTTACAATCAGTGTCTGAAGAGAAGCATCTCTGAACACACAGTACACCGAACGAAGGCTAAATTTAGCACTGGCATACCAAAACTGGACTTAAATGTGCAGTAGAATGCATTGATACAATCTGTTGAATTATTTTCTGTTATCTACAGAAGGTATATGGCTTAGGTAATTGCAAAACATCATCAAGAAATTGTTTTACAGGTCATTTTCTAACACTGGGAATTGTCCCTAATATGATATGGTTGCTTTTGACCATATTTGGAAGGGTTGTGCATATGTATAAGCAGCTCATGTCAGTGCCTGTAAAGCCATTTCAAACCTTGGAAGCAAATCTCACAATATACATGTTAAACTTTTAAAAGGTAGATTTAAACAGACCTTATGTCTAATCAGGGGTGGCACTGAATAAATTTGTCATCCGTATATATCATATTTTGCATTCTGACACGCTGATGAGAACAGATGAGATCATGCATGGCTGCCTTTTTTATAGAACTGCTTACATTTCTTTAAAATTTGTCCTTTTTTCAAAATAAGAGTCCCACATACATCCATAGTAAGTGTAATACAAGCTTCAATTAACTTAGCAACAATATTTTTTTCTCCTTGTTTTTATCTCATTGTGACCAATCAAACGCTGCCTGGAGCATGTATATTGGTAGATTTAGTTATTTTATGAACTCTGATTATTCAGCTATGCCTAGGTATATCCAGATTTTCATCCTATAAAGAAAAAAGTTCACTGATTTGATGAGTCTTGATTTGTGCTGTGCCATTCAGATGGTAATGTCAGAACAAGTGTGCCACACACCTGCTTTTGAGTGATGCTCCCGACCGTTAGATCGCTGCCTGCAGTAAAAGTCATAAAGCCTGCCTCCTCTGTGTTAATGAACGAGACTTGAGTACAAAAAACTAAATAAATAACTACACTTGCAATAAAATGTCCCGAAAGATGGTCTTGGTCAATTAAGGCACTAGTTATCATGCTGATATAGGTGCAGATCTTCAGTTTTGTAAACAGTGTGTTTTTAGTCAGTTATTTAATGCTATAAAAACGGGGCATGTCATAGTGATTGACAGTTGTGACTGACAATTTCTCAAAGCAGACCGTTGGAGCTTTGGAAAGAGATTGAATTGCTATTATTCGATTTCTACTTTCTGACATACAGGATCTGATGGATCACTGTTTATTCGGTAAGGTGAGGATTTTATCTGGCGTTAATATTAGTTTGCTGATAGGTAGCGATCATCTGTATTTTCCCTGTCATGGCGTGTATCAGCAAACTAATATTAAAGCCAGATAAAACCCAATCTACCCTGTCTAGCAGTAATTCTCTTTATTTGTCTAAAAGAATAATTCGGAAGACAAAACTAATGTTAGCCTATGTCCAGATTAATCTCCTGTAACATTATTTGAATTTGATTTAAAGGATGTCTTTAAGATTTTGAGTTTCGGCATGTTGTCGAGTTAATCTACTGAATTTGCTCTTATAAAATATGAATGTTCTAGAAACCGAATCTTCAATAACAAATAGAGCTGTAAATGTTATATATTCTTTGTATACACCATTTGATGTGTGCTTTTTATTTGAAAACACCTAATAAACATTAAAATGAAGATAAATTACTATTTGCCAGATATTAAGGCATTGAATAAACCAAGTAAAAACAGAGGCACAAAATGATAAAGAATATACAAGCGATATTCAGCAGCTGATAGGCCTATATCATATAGACATCAGTTGATGTATTAATACTGCTAAGTATATTGTACAAATTGACAAGGATTACTTTATATAGTGCAGGGATGGGATGAAATATCCTGTTAATCTTTAGAGATCGTTTGTCTTTTAAATGCACTATTTTTCCCTCATGGTAAATCGTTATCTATAATGTGTATATTTTGAGTCCTGTTGATTGCTAATTAAAAATGTTAAATAATTTTCGAAATGAATGTGTTGTTCATATGTTATTGTTCATGTTTTACAAGTGTTATTTCTACCCCTGTGAAGATAATAAATACCAACAACCCGTTATAAGACAAATATTTTTTTTGTGCTGGTAGCTAAGCTAACTTAGGCTGTAGTGTATGAAATATCATTTATTTCTGCGGTCCAACATATATTGTTTCTCTTAAATTGTTGAAAACGGCTTACATCACACATTTTTTTTTTTTTATAAATTGTATATGATTGCATGTTTTTAAATGTAAAGCATATTAGCAAGCCTTTTTTATAGTGCAGATATGGGAAGTCAAATGAGAAGTTCAGGGGGGCGTGGTTGATTTGACGTACAAGCGTTTGGTTGGAAGTTTGATTCCTCGGCTCCGCCTCTGGCTCCATCTGGTAGTCCCTTTTTCTGTGCAAACCCAGGCTCTAATTTTAGCAGTGTTTTGCAACAGTTTGTGCCCGTCAAGCGTTTTGCTTCAAAGCGTTCAATGGGAAAAGGCACTGTTGCGTTGTCCATATTCTTTACAGTCATTGTGTCAGAATTTGGCATAACCAACATGAAGCACAAATGTATCCTGTGTCAATGGTAAAGCTGCTGCTGGTCTAAATGTGTGCTGGATATTTTCTTGTCAGCCGAGCAAATTTCCAGCAACTACATAATGCTGTTTTTACTATATGGACCTAAATTAAGATTTGCAGCACCCTTTAACATCTATACTACTAACAATTAAGGCAATTCTGAAGGTTTAAGCAAGGTGGCTGGTGAGTACATATCTTCAGCCACTTTGTTAAATATCCTCCATATATGTGTTTCCAGACCCTGCCCTGTCACCTGGCGTGGATCGTCTTCCCCCATCATTAGATGGTCCTTTAGAGTTTGATGGTGTTCAGTACCGGATCCTGCAGAAGCGTCTGGATTGGCATTCAGCTCTGCAAGTGTGTGAATCAGTCAACGGGACACTGGCTGCTGTACGGGAACCTCGGCAGAATGCTTACCTCACCCTTCTCCTCAGCACTCTCCGGAAACCTGCCTGGATTGCTCTACACAATGAAGGGGTGAGTGACATTGTGTGCATGACAAATTTTTTTAGCCCTCCAGTTCAATTTTTATTTTTTTTCTAATATCTGCCTAATTTAACAAGGATATTTTTCACATTTATGCTATTAGATTAGATTAGATTAGATTCAGCTTTACTGTCTTACACATCTACAAGTACAAGGCAATAAAATGCCAGGCGTGAAATTGCAGCAAGTGCAGGATATTGGTATAAGATATAAAGTGCAATTGTAGAAAAACTATGGTGATATTTACAGATGGATGTAGTATGAACATTATATACAGGTTGTATTACCTATGAACATAGATTTACAATAGATGAATATATGTACAGGTTGCTATTAATAATCCGAAGTATGCCGATAAACATTAACATAATTACAATTATTTCTTTTTAGTTTGGCTGGAAAAATGTAATATTTGTACCTAAACGTTAAAACGGCTCGGATAAGTATTATTAACTCCCTGAAGAAATTATTGTGATTATTATTTTTCATTTATTTATTTGCTACAGAAAAAAACATGGTTGTCCAATGTCTTGCCTAATTAACCTAACTTGCTTTGTTGACATAAATAATCTAGATTAGCCTTTAAATTGCACTTTTATTACGTAATGAATGTACTAAAAAATATATACCCTGTGAGATAAAATGACAATAAGTAAATTCATTTTCTTGTCGGCTTAGTCCCTTTATTAATCCGGTGTCGCCACAGCGGAATGAACCGCCAACTTATCCAGCAAGTTTTTACCCAGCGGATGCCCTTCCAGCCACAACCCATCTCTTGGAAAGATCCACACACATTCACACCCACACTCATACACTATGGTCAATTTAGCCTACCCAATTTACCTGTACCGCATGTCTTTGAACTGTGGGGGAAACCGGAGCACCCGGAGGAAACCCACGCGAAGGCAGGGAGAACATGCAAACTCCACACAGAAACGCCAACTGAGCCGAGGTTAAACCAGCGACCTTCTTGCTGTGAGGCCACAGCACTACCTACTGCGCCACTGCCTCGCCCACAATAACAAGTAAATACTATTACAAATAATCATAGTTTTATAATATTGTTTTACTGGGAATTATAACAAGGCTGTCTGGAATACTAGACTCTGATTGGTCAGCTGTAACATTTTAAGGCATGTTATTCCAAGAAAACAACTGCTAAATAACACAGCCTTACTCAGGCACTTCAAATCAAATTGATTGTCAGTGAAAACATTTAAATCTATACTGTATACTCACATCTAGGCATGGGATGATAATCGTTTTCAAAGTATACTGCCGTAACGCCTGGGTTTACTACAGGAAAGCACAGGATCGCAGGTTTATAAAACACGTAGATTTATTGATAAACACTTACATGGGTGAACACAGGAAGGACATGGGATGAAAACAGACATCAATTGAAAGAATACCGGATGAGGACTGAATGACACACAAGGAGTATAAATACAAAGGGGATGATACAACTGATTACATATAGGGATGAACACAGGTGAGGGTGATGAACATTTACAAATGGCAAGAACTGGAACAAAGGAGCACATGGGGAAAGGTCACCTGACAAAAACAAACACACAAGGAACACAGGATGTAACAACCGTGGTTTTATGTTTTGTTTTAAGTTTTTTAGGACAGCTGAAAAGATATCCAAGATGCATCAGAAGTCAATGTTTGATTAGAATAATTTAGCCTGACACGTTTACTGCTCCAAAATATTTAAAAAGTTTCTTTAAATAAAATATGTTGTGTTCAAGGGAAAAAAAGTTAGAGTTTTTTACCCAGACATTTAAAAAGAATATATTTTAGAGCAGTAATCACAATACCATGAAACAGTGATATTTTTATCCAAGGTTATCATTACTTGGTTACTTGTCCAGCACGCTGCATTTTTAAACAGTTTTTTACTGTTTGGCGCCATCTTGTAAATACATAATTGGTTAGTATATGCCTTATCCAATCAGCTTCATTTCTGTCAGCTTTGCATTTTTGACTGTTTGTAGGCTTTGCATCAGGCTGGTTATAAGCCCTATCTGCCTGTTACGCACCGTCTAGGGATGGTGCACAACATGAAAGACAAGACAACAAAAATGAATTCAAAGATTTATTGGGATTTGAATTCGGTAGCTGACAAGGCCAAAATAACAAACACAAATTCCTTTGTTAAATCTCTAACTTACCTGATCAAAGATAAAAGAAAAGAAAGTACAAATTCACTACCCTAATTACCTAACACAAAAACAGAGGACAAAAGGTTTTACAAAGAAAATGGCGTCAAACTCCTTACTATACCAATATACAGTATATACATTATTTACAAACTATTTACAAAAACAGGCAACCATATTTGAAGAAAAATCCTAAATCAATGTCAGCAGGCAACAAAGGTCAAACAAACCAGTGGAACAAAGTATCAAAAACAAAACAAACACTAAAACAAAAACTACACTCAAATCTCAACAGAATCTGAGTACTCACAAATCTCAAAATTCCCAGTCTTAACAAATCCTAAGACTCTGCACTATACCACATACAAACGTTTCAACAAACACAAAGCAAGTGATCAAAAACAAGATGACTGCATAGAAAGTAGTGTCATGGCTTTTTAAAACACTGTAGGCCAATCAGGAACAAGTAAGCTGGAAGTGGCCAATTAGATGTGTTCTAAGCAAAACAGAAAAAAAAAAAAAAAAAAAAAACAGATGAGAAAAGACAAACACAGCATTGTAACACTGCCTTTAATCAAAGGCAGTAACAACCTCCTGGATGTACTTTATCCATAACTTGGCAAGATATATTAGGAAATGCATTTATATACTACAGTTCAGTGATTCTCTAAACTTTAGAGCAGGTTAAGTTCAGAGCATAAGTTGCTATAGCTTGTTACATACACTGAAAATTACCTGAACGATGAGGTTATCCGTTTACATATCCTCAAACTAATGTGGTTATGTCACAGCCTGCTGTTTTCTGGAATACCCCTCATTGACGCAATGTGAAAACACTCAAATAAACAAATAATAATACAAATAATGTACAAATAAACTTGAATTGACTTCTTGTTTTCCAGGGGCGGAGCTACTCGTGGTTGGGTGAAGAGGAGATCACATTCAGTGACTGGCGGGACGGAGAGCCCAATCAGATGTACGGTTGTGGTCACATGATCACTGAGGGCCAGTGGACTGTGGCTGCTTGCAATTCAAAATTAAATGCAGCCATTTGTGAAATGAACACTGGTAAGAACATGGTACATGCTTCCACACTAGTTTTTTTTGTAGCTTGCAGCAAATGTGTTGTGGACAGTATGCTAATTTTGCTTGTGCACAGGATTTCCAAATGTATAAGAATGGAAGTAATGTAATTGGTTCTGAATGTGTGAAATTGCTGAACTAAAGTGTAATGTTGAGTTAAATGTGATTATTATTTAGTTAATTTTGTTAATTAATTTTCTTGATAATATATATTTTTAAACCTCATAATCAAGTATGTTTAAATCTGAAGTTTAAAGTGTCTGTGCATTTACTGGTTTTGAAATTGATTTAAATTAAATGCTAGTAGTTTTATGATATAAAGGTTCTGACAAATCTCAAATAAATATATTGTCATTTATAATCTAATTAGTAAACTCTATCCTCTAATTTATACTCTTTTCAGAATAAGATAATTGATTAATTTCAAGATTAATCTAGATTAAAAAATATCTATGCCCACCTATAATTTTTATATAAATTTTAGAAATTTTACCAGTTAAACTTATTTTATTTAGTTGCTATTTTAGCTTTTATTTAAATTTCAGATTTTTTCAGTTATAGTTTAAGCTAGCTTTACTGATGTATAATATACTGTGTGCTAGTATTTCATTCGAGGCATAGCCTTTGACAGTTTTTACTCTTGTTAGTCTAATTTCTGCACTTAGTATAGCTTGTAGTTTTCTAATAGCCTTTGGATTTGCTCTGTGTCTGCATCAGAGACGACAAAAGAGCATCGATGGATGTATCCTGGTGTTTGCCCACAGCCTGTTGGTAACTGGTCCTGGATTCCTTTCAGAAATCACTGCTACTCCTTCATCCTACACGAACTACAGTTCAAGCAGGAGGCCATTCGCATGTGTAGCAAAGGTAACGTCCACAATCTGGAACTTAAAAACACACAGTGAGTTAAGTTCAGTTCGGCATCGACCAAAGTGCTAAGCAAAACCCAAACACACATTCTAAAATGGAATAAAATAACAATAAAAGTAATAAAACAATAATAGTATTAACAATAACAATGCACAGTAATTACAGGAAAGATTACAGGAACATATGTGACCTCAGACCACGAAAAAAGTCATAAGTGTCTTTTTTTTATTGGAATTTGTACATCAAATGAAAGCTGCATAACTAAAGGCTGATTTGTGCCTCATTCAGACTAACAGTGACTTTGAAGCTGCTTGCCGCTCTGGGTGGCACCCAACTTTAAACGCAGGGATGTGTAGAAATATACATCAAGAATACAACCAACCTCTAAGCGAGCTAAGAGAGGATCACGTGAGCTCTACTGGTGTTCCTATTGGCTGTCGCTCAAGAAAGTCGCTCTTCATTTGCATGAAGTTGAAGAAATCTCGACTTTGTCGCATCGCTCGACATGCCCACCTGGTCACCAATAGTCGCTGTCACCTGCATTGACAGAGTTCGCCGGAGGTCACTCACTTTCTATTCAAATTAATGCTCGCTTGTTGCTTTGCTGCTGCGATTTGCGTGTAGTGTGAATGATTAAGCTGGAAAAAAACAGATTTTTTTTTTTAGATTTAGCCCACTCCCCAATTCACACATTGTTGTCTGGCTAGTTTCTGTCATTCTTTTATGCTACAAAGGCAATAATGGTCCAACATTCTTGACCATTATCACCAATAAAGCCTTAAAACAGGGCATCAGTATATTGTAAACAGACGATAGGTTCAACTATTCCTTTCCAGTTATCTAAGAAATAATTTGTGACTTCATTTAAGTTTTGTCACTATTCAAATGTTGTAAATTCAAAATTGTAATATATACATCAGTGTACAACTTATGAATGATGGAAAAACATACTCTTTGATTGTGTATTAAAGCAACATGGGTCTCCATTTTTGCCATGGCCTTTTTTTTGCCATGGCCTTCTTTTGGTATTAACAAACTTATCCCTCAAGTTTTTCTAAACTTTTTAACAAAAACTTTCTTTTCCACTGCAATTGCAATTTCACGTCGAGTATAAATCAGCCTTTAAGCATTCCAGTGTAGTATACTTTGTTAAAATGGAAAAATATCTGGCTGAAACTATTTATTTACAAATATTACAAATATTTTAATATCTTTATAATAATAAAATTAATAATAATAATAATATATTTTTTCCAAATTCTGAGTAAATCACCTTTAAAATAGTCTAGATTAAGTGCTTAGCAGTGCACATTAATAAGCAAATATTGCATTTTGATATATTTAGAATAGGACGTGTACAAAATATCTTCAAAGAACATTTACTTAACATACAGACAATTTTTGGCACAAAAGCAAAATTCTGATAATTCTGTAATGGCTATAAAAAGTTTTGTGGTCCAGGTTCCCATATTACATACACTGTAAAACCCAAAAAGTTAAGGTAACTTAAACCGTTTGAGTAAACCGATTGCAACAAACCATTTAAGTTCAAAAACTAATACTAATGAGTACTATAAACTTAATCCATTTCAGTAAATTAAGCATTTTGAGCACAGTTTGAGCACCCAACCAACTGAGTACTATAAAACCCAATAAGTTAAGGCAACTAAACCCGTTTAAGGAAACCGATTGCTAAAAACCATTTGAGTTAAAAAAAAAAAAATCTATATGAGTACTGTGAACTTACTGCATTAAAATTAAAGTAATGAGGTATTTAATTAACTCGCAACCTTCAACACTGAGTTCAAAGCTCTTTTCAAATGAGTAGAATTAACATTCAGTCAATTTTGAGTTAACTACACTCATTTCCTTTGATAAAGTAAACTGTTGGGTTTTACAGTGTATAATTACTTTAATAATCATGTTTTTTTTCTAACACAGTTGGTGCTAAACTGTTGTCAATATTGGATGAAAACGAGAATGGGTTTGTATGGGAGCACATGCAGAGTTTTCAACATCAGGCTCACGGCGCTTGGCTAGGAATGATCTTTAACTCTAAAGGCAAGTGGTTTAATGAAAAACACATGTTTCCTTCATTAATCCGCAGCCTTATCTATAGAGCTCTGTGTGTGCGTTTGATTGTACAGAAGGCAGTCTGGAGTGGTCCAGCGGTGAAATTGTGGATTATAGTAACTGGGAGCAGCAGGATGCTAATCTGAGCATGCTATCTGCTAACAGCTGCTTCTGGGTGAAGAGCAACACGGGCCTCTGGAGGCCTGAATCCTGCAAAAACCGCACTCATGGAGTCATCTGCAAACGGCCACGAGGTATTGTTGCCACATAGATACAGTATATGGAAACTTGGTTTATCTGCAAATATAAATTGGGTAAAAGTTTCACCAAATAATTTGGTCAATGGGGTGTATGCACAAGGCCTTTTAATTTATACATATATATATTTTTTTGTCAGCCAGCTCAAGCACCTTCAGTCCATTGTCATGCCATTACAAAATCGCCACGTTTAAGATCCAGTTTCTTTATAAACCAAGGATCTTCGCTGCCTGATTGAGTGGGTCTCAAACCAGACATGAAGCAAAGCATTCAATTCCGTTGCTCCATGTCATGTCTTTAAAATATGGAAAATTATTTTACCCTAGTATTTTTAATGGAGTTTTTTTGCCCCTGACAGCACTTGCGTTTAAATGGTCTTTCATCTCATTTTATGCTTGAACAACTAAATGAATGATTAGGTCCATTAAACTGATTATACTGTAATAACATTACAAAATCGATGCTGTAAATGGACCCATATGAGTTTAAAAACATTCACACAAACCTTAAATCGGACGTTTATCGGTGGCTGAAAAACACTAGCTGTGCATAAACCCCACTGATTATTAAATTAACTTTAATTGACCTTTTGAAAGTTTTGATTGTAGTGTGTAGAAATCATAAAACTAATTCATAAAAATGTATGATATTGATGCATTTATAAAATAAATGGTAAGAAAGTGTCATTTTTGGTTATGGTTAAATGCTATTCTTAAACTTTTATTTAGAGAGTCTTGAAAACAATGTCAAATGTAGCTTTGTCATCTAAAGAATAAATTACATTAAATATATATTAAATATTACTTGTGTTGGGCAAAAATTAATCATGATTAGTCACATCCAAAGCAAAAAAAAAGTTTTGTTTTGACATAATTTAAGTGTGTTCTGTGTATATTTATTATGTATATATAAATACACAGATGCACACATATATTTGAGTCAGTGTTTATTTTTATTTAGATATGAAACATATGTGTATATGGTACAAATGAAATATAAATACAAAATGTCTATAGAGTGTTGTATAGGTTTGCTTTTTATGTATGTGTATAACTTAGAATAAATAAATATATAATATATCACATAATAAATATGTATATATAGCTCCTCTGTTTATATTTCTGTTTACCAAGAAAAGATTTTTTCAACACTCTTCCAAATATGATAGTTTTAATAACTCATCCATAATAACTGATTTATTTTATCTTTGCCATGATGACAGTAAATAATATTTGACTAGATAATTTTTATATAAATATATATAATACACACACATACAGTGTTATGCATAATTGAGTACACCCCATTTTGAAAATGAATATGTTTATCAATTTGTCAGTGAATATATGCAACGTTTTTTGGTGCATTTGAACAAAACCAATTTATTTAACAGATAGTCTTTTTGAAATAATATTTTAATCACCAAACATATTTAGTAATTGAAAAATAATACTATTAAACTCAAGCAAAATATTGCAAAAAAAAATCATCTTTAAATTTGTACTTAATATTTTTCTATTACATATAAATTTGGGTGTGCTAGTTTTTGGAGGTTATCGTAGGTTATTTTGTTAGAAAAGCTCCAGATTTGGCTTCCGTACTGAATAATTTGATGAATATTAGACATTAGAATATAATTTTAATGTCTAATATTTAGCACAAATATAATATTGTTTAGCCTCCTATTACAAATATGAATTTAAAAGATACATTTGTGAGGGGTGTACTTTTGTGACATTTGTGACATTTGTGAGGGGTGTACTTTTGTGACATTTGTGAGGGGTGTACTTATATATGCTTATATATGAGCACTGTGTGTTATGTCATAACAAACTTTTATTTTGAATGCAATTAATCTTTTCCCAGCACTAATAATTGCTTTATTGTATATTTTTATTTGCATTTCATAATAGTATTTTTTAATTCAAGTTTTTTTTGTTTGTTTATTGTAAAGTGCTTTTTTACAATACTAATTGTTCCAAAGCATCTTTGCAAAATGTTCACATTATAACTTAACGTTGTTTATAGTGTAATTTCTAATTATAAACATAGTTAAATGCACAGTATACAATGTAATGTACTAAATAATGTCAAAATATATATAATGTCAAAATGATATTTATGTACTGTATTCACTTTATTCGCTGTGTGCGAGCAGGCACAGCCATTTGAATCTTTTTGTGTTGAGACTTCTGGTCTCATTCACCTGCTTGATATTGCAAACTGATATTTTCTTATTATTTTATTCAATTTTGTCTGTATAGTCATGAATACACTTGTTTGTAGAGCAAGTTTGACCGCATTCTGTTTATTATTCCAAGTAATTTCTCACATAGGCAACTAAATCGGAAGTTCTAAAACAATCATAAAAAAAGAGCGAACTTTCACGTTAAAAAATAAGGTCAATATGATATATTTTTAAATAAGTGACAGTATTATTACAAGAAATGCAAAACAAAATTAGAATAATGTTATACATTGACCTTAGAGACAATTAGGTAATAACCTTTAAAATTCCAAAAATGCCAACATAATTCATATTTTTCAACCCAATTTTTCCTTTTTCTCCATTTTCAATAGGACCCACAGCAGAGCCTGTGAATAGCTGTAAGTCATAATCATATTTAAATCTATCTTAATTCACCTAAAACATGTTGACAAAATATTTTTCAAGAATAATAAGTTGCTTGTCATTTTTAATTTGACTATTTCTTTTCTTTTCCTCTCTGTCTTGCAGCTGAAGTAGACCATCTGCACGTGTTGATTCAGGTCCTGGTGGCGGTGCTTGTTCTGATGGCTCTGGTAGTGGGCGGGGTGTACCTGTATCGTAGGCGGAGCTTCGGCTCCACAGGTGCCTTTGAGAGTGCTCGGTACAGCCGCACTAACTCCACCCCCTCTGAAGAAGCCGAAAAAAACATTCTCGTTTCAGACATGGAGTTAAACGAACAGGGTGAATAATGATGGATGTGCTTGAAACACCTAGGAAAACAAATCTGCTGCGGCAGCAAACAACTTGAGGAAATTTACGTTTAAGAGGGAAAAAAGGGATTTCGTTTTTGTGAGAGACATCGAGAGCTGTGTAGAACGCAGCAGTTTATCAACCAAAATCAACAGAGGCTTTTTTTTTATCAAAGTGCATCAATCTAGACCTGTCAACCAATCAAATCTCAGAGGAGCTGCTTGGATTGGCTGGTGTGGATTTCCTTTTCTTTTTTTTTTTTTGCTTGTCATTATCTGGCTATGAGAATACTGTTCCTATGTGTATATTTTCATGTCGTAATAATCCTATTTAGTGCCAAAGGGAACAAAATTTACAACAAAAAACCCTGCATTCTTCCCTGTTATATAGTATGCTAAAAAACTGTATGTGAGCCGAGTACTGCATCCCAATTCATGTTATTTAAAAAACAGAAGACCCAAATGATGACCCATATATACATTCCTTAAAGGTGCAGTAGGTGATCGGTCAAAATGCTTACCGGTTAGCATAATATCTTTGAAACACAGTCCCATGCTTGCTGTCCAAACCACACCTCCTGAAACCACGAATACGTGCACCTTAAATATGACAGCAGACAACACACTAGATCATGTCATTCGCCAGTTAAGAAACTTTAAAGTTCTTTATTATTTACTATTCCGAACAATAAACTATTATAACTAGCACGTTTTCGCCTATGTAATTTAGCATGCAAAACTTGTCATAATGTGCAATATTTCATGCATGCCAGGTTAGCTGGTCTCACTCTCTCACACTTTGTCCTAAAGCAACTACTGTATGCTTAGTGGTCGGCTGGCGGTGTGCAGGAATTACACCCATTACTAAGCCATACCTACATGCTATTTCAGAGTGAATATTCTGAGTAGCATGGTAAACAATGAAGGGAGCGCTTCAAAGGTCGTCATTGTGCAAAAATGAACCAATGTGAATATAAAACTAACTTCAGCTCAGTAAAGCAGGCTAGGCAAAATAGCGCTATTTACTTATGTGTTGTTGTTAAACTAAATAAAAATCTAAATTATCGATGCTGTAAAAGGTCTTTTATGAAACTAAAAATAGTCACGTCAATCATTCACAAGAAGATTTCAGTGGCTGAACAACACTTCTGTGTATATAACCATTCATAATACAACACAATCTACATCATCTTTGCGTGAATAAAGTAGTTTTAAAACAGAACATTACCTGTCTAAAAGAAATACTTCAGCCCTAGTGTCGTCTTTCCTCCAACTTGCAAAAGTGACTCCAACCTAGATTCAGGATTTGAAGAAGTTTTGATTCAGAATTTGATTTTACTGCTGTGTTTCGTGTGCAAATTAACGTGTGGTGCGCATGCACACGCCAACGGCAAATCTGCGTGAAAAAGGATGCACAGATGTACAAATCTACTTTGTTGACAGTTTGGGCTGCTTGTTGGAATTATGGGAATTCATGGCCCGACATTATTTAATTAGACGAACATTTTTTGAGTTTTAGTCCTTACCCAGAATATATAAATACATATAGATAATTTACTTTAATCATTACTATTGAAATGTGAAGAGACTTTCAACCAGCACAACAAAAATTGTTTCTGAAAACAATCACCTACTGCACCTTTAAACACTTCAGAATCTCATGAGGCTACTGGAGAGAATTTGCAAATTTGGTAATGACAAAATGGCAGATTTAGTACCTCCTGAAGCATACTATATGAAACTACATTTTTTTCCAGTCATTAAGTTAATTGTAGCACCTACTTAGAAGGTACAGATTTCAGACGAACCAACTCTGCTGAGAAAAAACAAAAAACAAAAAAAACGCTTAAACCAGCCTAGGCTGCTTGGCTGGTCAACCAGCCTGGTTTTAGAGGGGTTTTGGCCATTCCATTCTGGTTTCCAGCCAATTCCAGCCTGGTCCCAGCTGGTCAGGCTGGGAGATGACCGGCTAAAACCAGCTTGACCATCCTAGCCAGACTGCGAGCCTAGCTAAAACCAGCTATTTCCAGCTTAAATCAGGCTGGTCAAGCTGGTTTTGGTTCTGACCAGCTAAGACCAGACTAAAAATGGCTGAAAACTTGCCTGAAAATGGCCCAAACCCCTCTAAAACCAGGCTGGTCGACCAGCTAAAACCAGCCAATCATCTTAGGCTACTTTAAGCTGTTTTTTTCAGTAGGGAATTGACTTGAACCTCCAATCTATGAGGGCGCACAATCACAAGGTACCACCAAGGCAGTATTTCTTTAGACTGTGACTTTTTAAAGTTCTTTGTTGTGTATTTTTTTATGCTTTTTTTTTTATTCGTGCAGCTGAATGTGACGTTTTGTGGGTCAAAATTTCAGGTCCATCATGAATTCATCGGAAAATGATAATCATAATAATTACAGATCAAATTACGTGTGTTTGAAGTTCAGTGATGTGGAAGAAAACAGAGCTGTGGACTAAAATAGATGAAAGTGCATGAGAACGAGCCAGTGTCTCTCTCTCTCTCTCTTTAATCACACGCTGCCCAACAGGACGTCTGACCTCACCGTAAACCGTTTGCTTGATCTCAGCGCTGTGATGATGAGCTCATCCCAAAGCTGAATCCAAATAGTACATTGACTGAAACTTAAACTAGCTTCTTGTATCTCTTCTTTCTCTCTCATTCCTGTCAGTTTTCAGCTTTTGCCTGTCCCCCTACCCCCACCCCCCTTTGGCTCTTGGCGAGGCCTGGAGGTGAATCGGTGCTGTGGCCTGCTGAGGAATGTCGAGTCAGCGAGAGGAGAAGATCTGGAACCAATCAGAACACAGGAGAGAGAGAGAGAGAGAGAGAGAGAGAGAGAGAGAGAGATAGAAAGGAGAAGGTTTGGATGGAAAGAGAAGACAGAGAGACAGTTGGAGAAGGAGGCTTTAGGTGAGCGGGAGTTACTGGAAGTGCTGGCGAGGGAATGGGGAATTACGTTACTGCTCCCTGCTGGATGTTTGCTCAAATAGCTTATTTAAGAGCGCGTTTAGTGCTGTGAAGAATTTGCCAAAGACATCAAGTCGAAATATTGTTACAAATGGGTACATAGTGTTGCAGTTGCATTCGCTTTTCATTACATTTACTTTTATTGCTTACAGAACAATATGCAGTTTGTTTGTTTGTTTGTTTATTTCAGGACAATGAACGTGATTAACAATGCATCTTTTTATATATATGTAGACTTGCTTAAAGAGATAGTTCACCCAAAAGTAAAAACGGACTCCCTATTTACTCTACCTCTAGTGGTTTAAAGCCTAATGAGTGTCTTTCTTCTGTTGGATTGAAAAAAATAAGGTTTTTAAGAAAAGTGAAAACGTGACCACTGATTTCCATCCTACAAATATTATGAAAGTCCACAGATATTTACATTAGATGTCGCCTATGCTATTGTTGTCTATTAGAAGGAATGTGTCAATAGAGCCGCCATTTTAGTACAGGGTAGCAGTGAGCAGTGCACGTCGAACAGTTTATCAAGAATGTACCGCTGGATCGCGTCTTACTACAGTTGTAAACTTGATATTTAATTAATCTTGCCTCTATCTAACGACTCTTTGGTCTTTTGAATCTATCAGGTAGCATGTCACAGCGTCAGTACACTGCTTCAATCTTTCACTTTCACGCTTGTACTTAGTAGTTTTAGCGAAAACCTCAGATACTGTTGATTGGTTCCTGTTGGTTGTGCACCTTTTTTACCAACCAAGTTTGTGGATGCCATTATAACGGTACAGATCACTGCCTATTCATGCCAGAGTCCCATAAAAAAGTGATTGACAGTTGGTAATCTGTGTGTAACTTAATTAATTTGTTATGAATTATTCAAAAATAATTCATTCACCGCTGCCTATGAGGATGATGCCATCGTCCATTGCAATGGTTCACATTAGACATTGTACAATGCCAAATTGGTCGACATCGCCCAAACCTAATTGATATATTGCGTCTCAATGTGAACACCCACCTTTCTGATCTATCTAATATTCAATAATTTAGGGTGGCAAGTATGCACATTAAGGCACAGGAACTGTTATGTTATCACGCACCCTTGAGTTACTTAGTATTTAGTGCGAATTTGGTGCTACTTTGCCTTATGGTCAATGCATTAAGTGATTATTAGCATCAATAGCATTACTTGTTTAGCACAAACATATATAAAAAAACCTAAAAAAAAAAAAAAACGAAATTTTACCTATAAAATGTTCTGCCTTTATGCTTTGTTTTCTCGTTACTACACCCATACACAGCACAAAAGTTTAGCATCTTCAGACTGGCTTTCGTCTTGACTAGTGCGGTTGATTGACTTTTGTCCTGGGAGCACTGTACAAATATGGCGGCGGTATTGACGCATGCTCAGGGTTTGTATAGATATCTAGTGTACATATCTAGGTAAGAAAGTCAATGGTTAAATTTTTTCCAGCGTTTAACAGAAGAAAGGCATTCACACGGTTTTGGAACAAGTACAGGGTGAGTAAATGATGATAGAAATTTCATTTTTGAGTGAACGATCTCTTTAAGGAAATAAGTGATTCTTGCTGATCTCGACAATTTTATGTGGTTGGTAAAGCTTTTTTTTTAACACATTGCTATGTGGTTGCTTACTCAGATAAGCTCAGCAGATGAGATCTTATCATTATCGGGTTGGCTTTAATGGGGCTTTATGTAAAATTAATTCATCTTTGTTATTAGTGACACTGGTGGCTGTTTAAGGGAACTACAGAACAGCAGAACTTTATACTTAGGCATCTAGTAAACGTTATACTCGATGCCATTGTCAGCATTTATACTATACTGAGTTCTATTAGGGCTGTGCGATATTAAAGAAACTTGCGATAGTATGCTTAATTATATATATATATATATATATATATATATATATATATATATATATATATATATATATATATATATATATATCTCAATACATATCAGTTTCAAATGATATAGCCAAGCGTCACTACAATTTCTGAATGTAAACAGCCATATTTTACTCTAGCATAAAACAAAAAAGGTATCTTAACAATGTAAATAAAATACATACTGTACAGTATCGTATCAATATTGCTCCAAATTGTAAAATTATATCAACTTCATTTAGTTTTGTTTGGTTGTATCAAACAAACAAAAAAAATCGATAACTATCACAGTCAAGTTAATATTTTCTTAAAATGATAGTTCGCCCCAAAATGAAAATGTGCTCCAAAATGAAAATGTGCTCACTATTTACTCACCCTCAAGTGGTTATAAACCTTTACTTTCTACTGTTGGGGTTATTTTGAAGAAAGCTGAAAACCTGTAACCGTTGATATCCATAGTAGCAAAAACAAATACTATGGAAGTCAATGGTTACAGTTTTTCAGCTGTCTTCAAAATATCTTCTTTTGTTTTCAATAGAAGAAAGAGACAAACAGGTTTGGAGCAAGTAAATTATGACAAGTTAAATTTTTGGGTGAACTGTCTCTTTAACGTGGCCTGCCTGCTTGGTCACATTTCAGTATTAATACTAAAATCGGTACAGGTTTTTGGACAAGCATGGCCGCATGTGCACTCTGCTTGGTTTCAGAGATGTGTATATTGACATATCCACTAAATTAACTGAAGTGCTGAGATGTACTTCAAAGTGTGTGCTAATGGCAGACATTCAAAGACGCTTTTGCATTCAATCGCTCATTTATCACAAAAA